CCAAAAATAAACGTAAATAATATAATTCTCGGCCTATAACCCGAGAATAACATAACACTATAACATGTCGCCTTTTCGATCGAAAAGCAGCGGTATGACATCACGGCCATTCCCGCGCATTTAATGTAGTCCAAAAGGAATAGTGTCACAACTTGAATTATTTATTGCATCTTAAATATTGAAGAAATTAAAAAAAAACTGTTCAAGTTCCTTATTGAACTTAATTTCAATAAACGCTCCTCAGTTGACTTTCTTTTACTGCATAAAAATGCAGTGCAGTTTTATAAAAAATATTTTTCTTAACTTAAAGAGAAAAGGATGACTTCTATTTCTTCTTTTTCAAAAATGGTTTAAAAAAAACAAAATCAAGATCTTCTGATCTTCCTTCCATTTAAGATTTTTAAATAAATAGGTGACAGGCTCGCGTTATTCAAGTCAATTCAACACTTTTGAATATTTCACAAATGTTTTTAGAGATACTTGGGGTGCAAAGAAGAAGAGAACGGAAACAGCAAGGCTTAGAGTATTCGGACGAGGCACTTACATTTTGCGGTGACGCATCTGGAACCAGCTTCTCCTTCCTTTGCCACTCGTTTATCTTGCGCAGTGACAACGTAACGTATTTTCTTTCTACGTCGCCCTTAATTCATCGGCCTCCGCTCCCTTTCGTATTACACCGCCCTTTCCATTATTAAAAAGCAATTTGCGCAGCTATTCAAGCTCGCGTTTACGTAACCAACGACGAAGATTTTCCCGCTACGTCCGGTGCGGCGGCGGCGTCCCGGATGCTGGGCGTTGTCACGGCAACCGTCAAAATAAACCGAAGAGCGAGGCCGGTCTGTGCATTTTCCGGATGCACAGCCAGCCAGAATCCTCTCCGACGATTCACGAAGCTAGCGAACGGGAGTTTTATCTCCGCGATCCAGACGTCCGAAGTGCGATGAGGGAGACGTTACAGGGGTGTGTCTGGTGTTCGTTGTACTCGTGTGCCGCATTAACGAAGGTGTGGTTACGAATCGGGAGTTGATATTTGCAGATTTCGAGTGTTAGCGAGTGCCGTTATCGGTGTAAGCCAGTCAAAAATATTAAGCGCATGTTCCGTAAGAAGAAAGTTAGTCTGTAATTAAACGATTGAGAACAATAATTTGAAGGGAAAAGTTGTGTAAACAATATTCGAGCAATTTTGACGCTGTATGGGGATGAATTGCGGATATCGCTCTGCCGGATAATTGAGACATCGAATGATTTTTCTAATTGAGTAAACACCAGCGTAGTTTTTTCTGCAAAGAAGAGCAGTTGCGAATGTTTATTTCGATTTCGCAAATGGGATCACTAAATTATTCATACTTCGTATACATCTCGACAGATATCGTTTATTTTTCATTCGAATGATTCGAACATTCCGTGTTTCGAGAATCGAGAACAAAATTATTATATATTCGAATTCTTAAAAACTAGCACGATGTAGTACTGCTGGTAGATAAGAATTTAATAAATTTGCGCAAATAATAACTGAGTTGAGCGAAATAAACCTGCCAAGTGCTATGGATGGTGATCCCTTTTTTTTTAGAGAATCAGTGATGAAAACCAGGACTTGCTATCGTCTTTTATTTTGAATACATATCAAAAAGTTTTTCTTGTCTTAGAAGATACCAAAAAGAATTGACACTTGAACTTTCAAGATCTTCTTTTTGGTTGACACTTTCTTTATCTCGTGAATAGTCTTCTTTTTTTCTCTCTTTCATGATTGTTCATCGTTCAAAAAGAACACAAACGCTCTATTTAACAAGTTTAACTGCCTATGAGTTGCATATAAAAAACAACAATAGAAATACCAAGAACAAATAACAATATCTGTTTAAAGCATCCAATTTTACTCAAAAAAGTGCTTAAAGTGCGCATCTTTAATCACAATCGCAAAAAAAAACATTTTTGCGTTACTCTAAATACGCTCTAGAATGTGCCATCTATATTTCCATAGCTCTTATACTTACTGAGATCTCCTAGGAAACTGCATTTGCATAACGGTAAACTATAATGTGTGGCGGGTCTGCAGCTTATTTTGTATGCTAGAGTATTCTTGTTGAGAGTGAGTAGAACCCAGCATTCATAAAAAAAATCCCAATGAACATACAAAAAGAAATATTATAACAGCTTTTGGGTTTTCTACAATTTTGACCAGTCTATTGTTCATTAGTGTTATTATTATTACCCCAAAAATAGCGTATTTGATTTTCTGCAGATCATCCCTCCAGCATTGAGATTGCTTTAACCGTTTCCATTATATTTGCAAAAAATGAAAAAAAACTGATGTTTTCTCTTTAAATTGTTTATGAAATATTAACAGTTGATGCCTAGGATTTATAAAAAATATATAATAATGAACTACTAAGGTAACCTTCTGACGGTTTGTCGTACACGTTATCTTTTGACTGGTTTACTCTTTAACCCTTAGAACGAAATGCGCGTCGAAAAATTCGACCCTCGTTTACCCTTCGAACGCTCCCGCACTGCGGATGACGGAGGGGTGTTGATTGATATGACGCCCAAGATCTTGTATAGGTTGGCGTTTACGATATGGCACGTGTCGTTCTACATTGAAAATAGACAGGTGAAAGTATTTGCCTTGCTCTTCTTTCTTATTTATAATTTTTGACAAATGTACTCAAGCAGTGGGTACTTGTTGATTGTTTTCGAGGGAATCAAAAATTCAGAACTGACAACATTTGAATTGTCGTAAATGCGTTATGGTTAAAAGTGCTCGTAGAAATATCCAAACAAAAATTTGAGATCCTGTATATCCAAATAAAAATGGCGGTTTAGTTCAACTGTGAATTACTTACAGCATATATGGTGGTGACATTTTGTCAAATTATTAGAAGAAAATCAATTATCAAAAAAGTTAAAAAAGAGGTAACCATCAATCAAAGCATTATGAACATCGTCAAAATTGACCAAAATAATTATAATTTATATTTTAAGAAGTGAGGATTGATTCAATTCAAGAAAAAACAATTTTCTCAATATTTGATTGTTTATTGTTACTGTCAAATCTGAACTTGCTGAAATTTCTTGATTCTATTTAATAAGTACAGCCCCAAAGAATTTCCGTTTTCAATAGTGTGACTTCATTGCTTATAGCGACTTAAATCGGTGCTGCTCATTCATGTTGCGTATCCTATTACAGGTTCATGAAAACTAAATAGAGAAAATTCAAATTTATTATCAGACTGTAATGAATTTAATATACTAGGGTAGCGCCAAAATTTTCCTGCCTGAATAAGTAGAGTAACAATTTTTTATTATTTTTCAATATAATCCCCCTTAACTTCAATACACTTATTACATCTCTTTATTAACAACTCAATTTCTTTAAAAATATATTTTTTTGGTTTGTCTGCTGAGCCAAAACAGCCTCTTTTAACTCAACTTCGTCGTTAAACCGCCGTCCACGTAAGTCCTTTTTCAAATATCCAAACAAACAATAGTCGCCGGGGGCCATATCTGGACTATAGGGAGGATGATCTATCTGTTGGAACCCACACCCTAAAATGGCAGCTTGTGCAACACCAGCAGTATGGACAGGTGCATTATCGTGCAAAAGACGCACACCTCTGGTCAGTTTTCCTCGACGTTTTACACGTATGCAGTCTCGCAATTTATGTAATAATGTTGCGTCATATTTACCATTGACAGTGGTATTAGTTCCTTTAAAATCTATCAAAAGAATTCCTCCACAATCCCAAAAGTTCGTGGCCATCACCTTTTTTGTTGACTGACAGACTCTGATTTTTTTTGGAGGTGCTTCACCCTTACGACGCCACTCCATTGATTCTTTTTTCGATAGAGGGTCATAATAGAGAACCATAGTTTCATCTCCCGTTACAATAGTTTCTATCACATTCTTAGGTTATGACCCACAGAGTTCCAGAAAAAACAGCGCACACTCGACACGGCGTTGTTTTTGAATAGCCGAAAGGTTTTTAGGAACCCATCTTGCACTAACTTTATGCATACCTAAATGAGCATGCAGGATTCGACTAACACTTGTATCAGAAAGCTTAGTAATTTCTCAGATTTCCTTAACCTTTAAACGTCGATCACTCAATACCACCTCTTCCACAATTGCAACAATATCTTCCGTTATGACCTCTACTGGTGGACCAGTTCTTGAATCATCTTCAAGGGCCTCCTGTCCCATTCGAATACAGAATACGAAGGAGAACTTTGGCCGTATACACCATCTTTCTTTAGTAATTTTAGGTGCTAAGCCTTCTTTTGTTAAAAACTTTATGACTGCTCGATACTCAATTTGCGTTATGTGCGACATTTTTTCAGACAGGTCTTGTTTAAAATGCTGTCAATAAAAAACTATTTGACGCAAGACTTTAATTTTTTGTTCGCAGCCTACTAAGATACATATTTAAAAGAAGACTAAGTTTTATCGTGATACTGGAGCTGCATCTATGTCAGGCCGGGAAATTTTGGCGCTAACCTCGTATATTTCTTGGCCGCGTTGCGTCATTACCAGAAAAAGCGGTACACCTACAGTTCAGAAAGGATGGGGTGGTTATTGATAATGTAATTTTGTTGGATAAGATTTAGTTAACTGCTATAGCAGATTAGTTTTTTGAAAAACTATAGACAATGATCCGTAGTTAACATAAAGGTACACATATAAATAGTAATATACTTAAATAGACATGTTTTTGTTAATTTGGGAGGAAATTGGATTGCCAAACAATTGTTTCACCGAATCCATGAAATCCCAGAAACGTTGCTAACTTGCCCTTTGTCCATGGATATTTCATCGAAATGCAAAAATATAATCAAAATGAAAAATACCAATCTTTTCTATCTGATTATTAATATTCATTTAAACAGTTCACAAAATTGCTGTTAATTCGGCTAAACAAATTTTAACCAAAAATTTTGATTTGATGCTATAACTGCTAATGAAACTTTTTGCAGTCCTGTAATTTTCTTTGTTTTCGTTTCAGCACTCCGATACCAAGACGCAGGAAAATGAAGAAACTGCAAAAGTGAGTAAACTATTTTTGCACCAAATACATAAAAACTTCCCTTTGTTATATCCATGTTACAAAATTTTGTATTTCTTTCAATTCCTGGAGTTTTTGCGAAGTTTATTCGAAATTAGTTTAATTTATCATTTCTAATATTTTCACATTTACTTGTTCATAACTATTTTTTGTTTCCTTCAACTTTGAACTTTATTGCAGATGTTGAGATCCAACACGTATAACGGGCGAGATGTTCACCGGAATCAATTGACACTGGGAAGATCTGGCTCGGCGACGACAGCAAGCATGGATTTGAGCTACGTGACCGAAAGGATTATTTCGATGTGGTTTCCACCCTCCGTCTCTCCGCACTCATTTAGACAGAGTCAAAGGCAAGCGGCCCACATGCTCATGAACAAACATGGGTATAATTATATGGTAGGTGAACATTTTACCTTACCTATATAATTATGGCAAAAGGCCGTTGTATACGCGGCATTAATTGAATAATCTCGTATATGGGTGGATCGATTATTTATGTTACTTTATCGCAAATACAGAAAAAGGAGACATGGATTACAGATTTTAATTGCAAATGTCGAAAAAAATAACATCGTTCCTATAGAAATTTTTTTTTTCGCATCACGTTGAAATTTTTGAAATATGCTGCACAAAAGTATCTGTAATTGAATTAAATACAAAATTACAATGGAATGATTTGGTAACTTTAAATTTTATGGTAAATTTCTCCTATAAACGTAGCCTGTTCTAATTAAAATCATTTGTCAAAATGTATGTCATATATTTGACTGCCGACTAGTCAACGTTAACTTTATACCACTGCAATGTCGATTGCGAACTCTTTTAAGCGTGATGCACCTGATATATCGATGCAGTTAGTCAATCCGGTTGCTAAATACAATTTTTGTGGTAATATTACTATGCATTTTTCGATACATAGTTTTCTGTTGAGAAATAAAATTATTATTATTATTACTCTTCAGTCAACACTGCAACTGTAATTACAATTTAAATATGCTTTTTATTTTATAATTTTTTTTTTGCTCAAAATTTTTTTCTTCAAAATTAGATCAACCAAAAAATTAAACATTTAGTCCAGTTTTTCTATTAAAACATGAGTATTGGTTGAAATTGTGTTTTAAACTACTGTTACTCCAAAAATATATCAGATTAATCTGTTAGTTGCTTTTAGGTATTCATTTTTTTAATTTTTAATTTTAAACTTTATAGATTCTAACAGTAACACGGGTAATTTACCCATTCGTACGTGCTTTGTGGTTAATTTAATTATTTATCGATATGTTTTTCCATTCTCTGAATTAACTTTTGACTCATATTCTATCTACCTTAGAAAATTCTAATTTAAATTTATAAAGCGTTTTGGTTTGAAATATTTCGCTTTTTACCTGGTGTTGATTTGCCTCTCAACAGACGTAAAAAAGACAAAAAGTAAGGTTAGGCGCCGCCATGGGAAATCCCGAAATAACTCGAAACGACTCTTGGTCTGTCGGTGACGGTAGATTACAAAAACAACCTGAGATATGTGTCTTTTACTTAATAAATCTCCGGGTTGCTTTTTAATATATAGATACCAGAATTTATTTTTGTTTTTTGGGCGAACAGATATTAAGTATAATTTTGACAACATCTGGAATAATCTTTGGTGTCTTCCTAAAAACTTTTGAACCAAAAAATCTCTATACAGGGTGTGAAACAATTGATGATGGATGGGTATTATGATATCAGAAACTGTTGAATGGAAATATAAAAAAAAACTAAAATAATGACTATAGAAGACGTATGAGTAATCGAATGTTATTCGTTCATTACCTTTTTCATGACTTTTCCCGCTTTGCGGTATGACCAAATTTCCTATCGGTTGAATGCTACGATATGTGTGGTAACCTAAATCATGAAACCTAAAGTAGTTGACACAAATCTAGGTGCAAAAGAAATAGTTAATAGAAAGTGTAATTACGTATAAGTCGGTTAAGTCCAGTTGTTGCACTGCCAGCTTTCTAACATTTCATATCTTTTGTTTCAGGTGTTTAACCTATCGGAACCAAAAAAATCTTTGAGAAACGAACACAAAAACGTGACGGAAGCGAGCTGGACCCCTAACTTGGCACCCCCTTTAGAGAGGCTCTGTAGCATATGCAAAGAAATTGATTCGTGGCTCTCCAAGGATCAGCACCGAATAGCGGTATTACACGCAAGGTAGGGAGAATTAATTTTGTAGCCGTTACAACACAACAACAAACATTTTTACAGGGGTTCTAAAGAAAAGCTGGGTGTGATTGTCGCAGCCTACATGCATTATTCTAGCATATGCGGCACGGCTGAACAAGCGTTGGATAGATTCTCTATGAGGAAATTCTTGGATGATAATATTGGTCCTTTGCAACTGCCATCTAACCGAAGGTTGGTAGTTTGAAAACGAACAAATTGAGAATATCTGCAATAATTCGCAATATAAGATTTAGAATTAATTTAAATTAATAGAAACGTTTAATTCAGCTTTTAATATGTAATTGTAGCAATCTACATCATAAGTTTTTTTTTCTATCGTAATTAAATAAATGCAGATTTATACAAATATATAATCAAAATTTTGCACCAAATCTGGAAGTGACATTCACTTCCAATTTCCAATTTTTTTTTCTACTTTTACAGTGTTTCCTGTATACTTTGTATGCAGTTCGGTATGGTTGGGTAAAATTGCGAATATTTTACTCAATATGTGAAATATTTCTCGCAAGTGCTAAAAATTTTGGACTAGACATTAAAAAATCAAGATATCGCGACTATTTGCTTGTGACACCATTTTAATAGACCAGGTTTACTAAAAAATATTATTTAATATATTCACAACAATATTTTTTTCTTTTTTTTTCAAGATACGTCGATTATTTTGCCGGTCTTTTGTCGCACAACATTAAAATCAACGCCGCTCCTCTTTATTTGACCCACGTGACGGTTTTGGGTGCCCCAGTTTTCCAAAACGGTGGATGCAAGGCCTTTCTCAAGCTTTACGAAGGACAGACTCCAGTTTATACCTCAGGTATGTTTAGTATATATTTTTTGAAAACTATTTTATACTCTTAAGTTAAGAACATGAATATTCCTAACAAATTCGATCATTAATTGATTTTTCAGACCACGTATTGTTGAATTTTGTTTTTGAACAGGAAAATGACTTCAAACACATCAAAGTCAGGTCTTTCAAATTTTCCAATTCTATTTCTTCTGATTTTAATTATGTTCAGGGTAAAGCATCAATTCAAAATATTGAGGATTTCGCTTACCATGTCATGTTGTTCAATATCTGAACATTTTTACTCATTTTATTTAAACTTATTTATTAAAAAATATAACACTCCTTTTAATCAATAAACTCCATTTGCACAATATACATGCTACTATAGTTTACTTTTCCACATAATCCTCTTCGTATTATGTTTTGGTTTGCCCACCTTTCGCTAAGTTATTGGAAAAATGATTTTGAAAAACATATATTTAATTTAGTTAAAATTACTAATACATTTTTTAAAAATGATAATTGCATTTCAGGTGTTTATTACGTGTCAAATGGCGTGTCTCACTTTACCGTGAACATAGCTGGCGAACGAAAGAGTGGCCTTCAACTTCGCGGAGACATTTTAATCAAATGCTATCACCGAGACCTGGGCACCGGCAGAGAAACGATTTTTGCCTGCCAATTTCACACGTGCGCGGTCTCCGATCACACCCTCAGCTTTACGAAACAGGAGCTGGATTATGCCTGCAATGGTAAGCGAATTTTAAAACAATAAGGCGGTCATTTCGAATTTAACTATCTATGCAATCTCATGATCAAAGTGCTCCAGTTTTGTTTTTTTGAAAGAAAAGCTTTATATATCTTTAACTTTTTCTGCTTGGGTTTTATTTTAATACGAATTCAATGTTGCCAAAGTTCAACTTTTCTTTGAATGCAGAAGAGGATCTTTCGGTGTTGAAACTTCTAAATTCTATTGTCTCTGTTTGACCTAATGACATATCGTTTGGGACAGTGCGTTATGAAAGTTGATTGCACCCAACTCCGTCACGGATGAACAGCTTAAACCAGTATATAGACGAAACTACTGCCCTGTAAGTGCAGTAGTCTCGTAAATAGTTTATCAGTTTGAAGTTAGCAGCTAAAAGTTGGCGGCCAAAATTACGGAAAAAGCCGAACCACCAGTGACGGCGGAGATTTCTAAACCAGTTTAGGAAGCAACTGATTCCAATTAAATAGATCTTTCGCGTTCGTTTTTAGAAAAACATTTTTATTGCAATAGGGTGAAATTTAAAAGTTGTCAATATTTTTTTCTACTTCAATAGAAATTTACACACTTTTATTTCTTGATAAAAATGTGTTTCCAAATGTTAGCTTTCGTTTGTAGTAAAAATACTCGCTTGCACTCCTGTATGGCTGTTGCTTAGGGTGAAACTTAAATGTTGTCAATATTTTTTTCTACTTTAATCTAAATTTACACACTTTCATTTCTTGATGAAAAAGTGCCCACAAAAGTTAGTTTTGGTTTTGCAGTAAAAATATTCCCTTGCAGTCCAGTACGAGAGTTGCTATAGGGTGAAACTAAAAAGTTATAAATATTTTGTAGTGTGTAAATCTCGATTAAAGTAGAAAAAAATATTTACAACTTTTTAGTTCCACCCGTACGAGGCTTCAACCGAATATTTTCTCTGGAAACGTAAGCGAAAGATCTATTTCATTTGAATCAGTTGCTTCCTTAACTGGTTTTGAAAACTCCGCCGCCACTGATTCATCAGCTCTTTCCGTAATTTTGGCTGCCAATTTTTAGCTGCTATGCTCACACTGGTAACTAGTTTTTAGTTTACACTTGATTTTGTTAAAATTTGTTTAGGGTAGTTTTAAACCTTTGCTACGTATTATTTTTTAACATTATTTTTCGAAACGTTTAGGTATACTTCTAAAGTGATGACAAAAGATAAAGTTAGTAAAACGATTAGATATGCTTTTTTACGAGAATTCCATCATCGCCGATTTTAACACTCTCGTATCAACGACATTGCAAGGCTAAACATAGCCTCGGGCGTACGAGCATTTTTTGAAATTTTAAAATAATCGATAACATTTCTGTCTGTAGTGACAGTGCTTGGACGATGCTATTTCAAATTTATGTTTTATTAATGTGGTAAATTGTAAGCGACTAAGACAAAAAACGTCAATATCATTACAAGAGTCATTCAATAATTTCATCAACTGATAGAGAGGACCATTGATCAGAAAATTGGTTCTTAGAGTTACTAGGTGAAATACAGGTGATCCCCTTACAGTCCTTGAAGGCACATGAAAGTTCAGCTGGCTCAGCAACTCGGGGCAATCCACAAATGAATTGCCAAGTTTATATAAAAACTGAAATGAAAGGTACCTCGTCCGATTCAACAGTGACGAAATCTTAGATATTAGTAATAAATCACTTTGTGGCATTTCCTTAGCCTGGTAGAAACCATTTACATGAAAGTGAAGAAATTTCAGAAACTTTCTCACGTGTTCCATTTTAAGTGATGTACTTGCCAAATAGTGGTTGCCACACCGTTGAACCATACTCTTGCTTCGAGCGCAATAATTACAGTATAACAGTCTTAAAGTATGTTCCCTTGCAAAATCTCTAGAATTTCTCAATATGAAACCCATCATTTTGAGTGCACCGCCAAAAGTTACACCCAGGTGTTTAAAATTGTCACATTTTCTTAATAATACGTTTTCCAGATGCTAATTAAAAGTTATAGTATCAGTTTTGTTTGAAAATGTCATTGCGAAACATTTATCTGCATTCAGGGGTAGGTTATTAGAAGCACACCAAGAACCAATAATCTCCAAATCATTTTCAAGAGACACGCAATCCACCACACTATCAGTCATTCTAAACAATTTCACATCATCAGCAAAGTGCAAAATTTGACTATCAATGTTAGCTACTATATCATTAATGAAAAGCAAGAACATCAATTGCGCTAAATTGGTACCCTGACAAATGATGCTACTGACCATACTGGATTCTGTTATGCATATATGACATTATGAATGTTACAAGATCATCACAAAATCCACACATTAGAGAGCAGTACAGTGCGGTCCACCTCCAAAAGTCTATGTATTGCCCATCCACCCGCCTCCTGTCGTCCAAAGCTTTAACAGTGAATTCTGTAAAGTAAGTCTAATTACTGATGGTGCATTAAAGAAATCATGTTGTTTGTGGCTTATCAAGTGTTTCATCTGGCTGAAAGTACTATCATGCAGCGACATTTCGAAAGCCCTCCCAAAAGGCGATATTATCGATACAAGACTTGGATATATTTGATGCTTTTCCCTCTTTTAGGCCTCTTTCTAGACATCTGCTAGGGCTGAGTTAAAAATAAGAGACATGGGTTGAACCAAAGCATATGCGCAATCTCGCACAACCAAACAAGGAACTTTGTCAGGACCACAAGATACTTTTTTCCTAACCCGTGCTAGTGCTATTGATATAGTGTCATCAATGAAGTGATCAATAGTAATAAATGGGATCTGTTGGGAGGCGTCTAGTATACCCCCTTTGAATATCCCTCCTCAAAAATTTTTATGAACAGATTTCTATGGATAGTAACACGTGCATCTTGAAGAAGGTAAGGTAAGGTAATTAAAAAAAAAATGCAGCCCCACTGAACTACTTATTATTAAAATTCACGTAACCGTTTTTTTTTTATGACGCTGAACTTTACGATCAACATCCGGCGATAAAAAAAAAACAAATCTAACGTTATCCGACTCCCACGTATTATAACGTGCGACAAAATATGGCACGTATGCACCTATAAATTATTGTAAACATTATTATTCTTTTGCGATATAAGCTGATAAGCGATATCGATTACAGCTATCAGTAGATACATAGATCACGCGTAATCCGTGAGCGCGAAAATAACGGTTTGCATTCATCGATGAGATCATTTCGTTACCGAAAATTGTGGCCATTTTTCCTTGAATCTATTTATTCTGTGAATGTGCTTTCATTCCCTCTTTAAGGAGTTATTTTTGTATGGCACCAGGTATTTTTTTAAATTTATTTATTGCATTTCAGCGTTTGACAAGGTAAAAGTGAAAAGTGGATTTAAGATTTAAAGCCATCCCTTCTTATTATAATAATATAATAATTTTGGAGAGCGCACTCTGCGTTACATTACGGTTACTAAAAAAAGAATCAAACTCCACAGCATGTAAATGTGGCAAATTAATTAAGACTTGAGCATCATTTATAATTGGTTTCAATTTCAGTTCAGTTTTTTTCGAAAATTGGCCTAGGGAGTATTTTTTAAATAGACATTTATATTGTAGCAAACAGTACGATTAAACATTAATGAAGCTACTCTGGGTAAAGTAGCAAAGTAGCAAAGTTAAATAAAAAAATGTCCTCTCCTTTTTCGACAAATACGTCACCTCCTTGTCAATTTTTTTTTCTATCGACGCACTCTATCTAACCACTAGTAGTTACGTTCATCAGTTTTTTGTCACAATTTGTCACAAATAGTAACATCATTTTAAACGAAACTTAAAATTTCAAATGGCAAATGAAGCGTTTTAGAGCAAATTTCGATTCGAACTCTTCTTTTGTTATTAAATCATCGCCTTGCGAATCGCAAAATCTATATTTTAAAATAATTTGAATGAGAATTTACGTTTTCTGAGTAGTAAACATGAACATCTATAAAAGAATCAAACTTAAAATTAAATGTCGGGCTTTTTTTTTAAGTATTTTTTTATATAATTGTAAACTAACCTGTGAAAAGTTTAATTTGGCAACACTGTACAACAACCATACAGTAAATACAGTAAATGACGTCGGTTGGTTGCTTTTAAGAGTTTTTTCCTCTCCAGTGTGGTGCAGAGCAATCACTAATTAAAATGAAATTCGCTCGAAGACAGACAAGGTGTTATTGTAATTGAAAATAATTGTGATATGAAAAATTGACTCTGTATATAATTATTCTACGCAACAACTTCAGAATTCAATATTTTAAAAAACGATTTGTTTAATTTAATTTCAGCCCGGTCAATTCATTACCATCATTATAAGACACTTAATACTTTAAGGTTCAAAATTAAGATTTAATTATTTATTTTAATTAAGCTTTGCGATAAAATTATTGATTTTTGCTTTAAAAAGAGATAAAATTATCTCCATTATCTAAAAGTAATTTATAAAGGAAATAACAATTAGTCCTTTTTTAAAGATTTTTGAAGGTTTATTGTTTTTTAAACGTTATATTGCATAAAACTTTATTAGAAAACTCGAAAATAGGAAAATTTGTTATCAGAGTTATACAAATTTGATAAGCAATCGAATATTTTGGTCTCCAAGTCTTTGGTGTAAGCGTTGATGTTTTGAGCAGATTTGCCATAGAATTAATGCTACTTTAAAAATATCAATATATTAAGTAGCTAATTTTTGAGGTTGTTTTTTGAAATAAATATACACATTAAAAAGGCCACGTTAACTTTAGTTTTAACGAAAATTACCAGGATGTACTTGACCTGGCCTCGTATATCTATTCCGAGAGCTGAACAATACTTTGTGTCACAAAAACGAAAAGAGCTTGTGAAATTTTGTTTATTTCATTTCTTTTTTCGCAATAAAGTAGGGCTCTCCTGAGAAAGCCTCATCTGTTTATATACAGGGTTAAGGTAACTAATTGCCGTATCAAAAATTTTCCAGCCGTACAAAAAAAATGAAAAATGTCTTTACTGTAATTGGGAATTGGAACTGCTGGAATTCCTGCTGCATCGTATTGTTGCTGCCGCGATGCGTACAATGCATCGAGTTTATATTATGAGCAATGTTGCACGAAAGAATGCGACGATTAAAAGGCGCGTTTTGCGAAAACGCTTTTTAATAATGTTATAGTCGACGTGTCTTCCGATAACTAGCACGAATGTGGGCAACACGTACTGAACATAAAAGAAAAAATGAAATGCGCACGAATGTACTCGAACAATTATTTATGTTGACACGTCTGGTAATTCGAGAAAATATTTTTTTGTAAACACATTTATTTCAAATACACGAATTTTCTTTTTTACTTGTCAAATTCTTATTCTTGCAATCCATTCTTCGTCTTTTTTAACTGCTGTACACACATTAAACAACGGATATAACTTAACTACACGCCTTTGTGACTTCCTTGAATATAGGTGTAATAATAAATGGCTTAAACTACAGCTGCTTTAGTGAGCTTTCGCAGATTCTCGAGCAAATATCACGTCGAAAGTGTTATCACTTCCCAGTTTACAATGACAGTGATAGCTTTCAAAAGTTAACATGTGTAAATCAAAATTTAAAAGCATAATTTTCCATTGTCATAGATATTATAAATTCATTGCTTCTTCGGTCGGTCAAGTTTAATAAAATTCGCATATATTTTTATACTCACCTAAACGACCTCTTTGTTTGCAAGCTCAATTTTCTGCTCGTTCAAATTAAAAGGAAAATCCAGTACATATTATTGGGATACATTTTATCCATACATACATTTATCTCGTTTTTACTATATTTCACTTTTATAAAAATTATAATAATAATTCCTGATACACATACTTACCATTTCTTGAGTATTTTTTTCACGTGGCATAATTCTCTAATGCTGTTTATACGCATTTTCTTCTCGGGATCCCAAGCTTAGATAAAAATAAGGCAGAAACATTTTTTTCATTTCTTGACACGGACAATTGATGTCGCAATCCTTAAGTAGTGCATCCGATCGAGTCCAAGTATCTCTAACAGAGATCTTATAATAATAGTCTTCATTAACTCAAAAAAATATATTTTTTTATGCTTTACAAAAATAATTTTGTTTGCAGTTTATTCTCAGTCCTAGTAAACTTGTAAAAAGCGGTTTGTGTGAATAAGCCTGCATGTAATGACGCTTGAACTACCTAAATAAAATACTTCAATTGTTTCAGATCCCCGATTTCCCGTTGACGGAGCAGTCGAGCTCCATTTTTCTCCCGGTTGTGACGCGAGACACCCAGTGCCGGCCCCAACACCCGCAGTCCCATTTACCCTGTCGAATGACCCCATAGTCAGAGCCGACACACCTTTCACCTTGGATGAATTCGACGAAGAAGATTCCGATTCAGGTACAACTTTTCTTTTAACAAATGTACCACAGCAAAACCAAAAATTATTTGTCGATAATTTCGTTCTAACGTTTACCATCACGATTAATTAATCCTCGCAATTTTATGACAGTAATTACTCTGTTACATAAGGTCGCATCAGCGTTAATTTTTGTTGTAGCCTACTTCTAACGTCTTTATCTAAATCAAATATTTTTTTGATCCTATTGACAGGCCACGATCAAGCAAACGTCATTTTAAAAGGAAAACGATATTTTTTAAAGAAAACGCTGAATAAACCAGCTATAAAAATAATGTGCCTTTTTAAATGACTAGTAGAAAAGTAGAGGCGCGACGGCAAATGTACATGAAATATGTTTGTTTTCCGTTTTCAGACAAAAATTAGAAAGCAACTGCTGACATTAACTTATACAGCAAGATCACTTATAGATCAGTATAGTTTTCCACGTGTTATATTTGCTTGCAATCTATATACAGATCAAATGAAAGATTTAACGTAAAAATTAAACATAACCTATTCAATTCAAATGTGATATGCTTACGAAATGAATTGAAATTGAATTTGTTAATATTCATATATTAATATTTATTAATATTTTTCCTTAAAGAATCATTACTTTCTCTCCAAAAATAACCTCTAGTTCATCTAAATACCTTGACAGGATCATTTTCAAGTTTCTACTTCCGAGAGGTTTCGCGAAAAACTTGACAACGGGCAAGCGTTCTACTTTAATCCAAATATAACAAAAATTAGTGCTTTTCCAGAAACGAAAAAATTGTGCAAGGGTGATTACAAAACCAGCCAGCTTATTATTTTCGTCACCACGCACCTACAACGGTTTTACAAACGAACAGTAATAAGCCGCTTCTAAAAATATAGTTTCGCTATGAACCAAACGAATTCGAACGGAAAGACTGCTGGCTTTATTTCTGGGTTATATTTCATCGTACTATTTCAGTGTACGAACGGCAAGTCGATGGAGTAGATCTAGTGATTGTGAAGTAATTCACTAAGGTATCAATCAGTCTTCGTAGGTAGTGCAGTTTTATTTTTAGGTGTTGGTGGTGAGTAAATTATCTCCCGGGCCTATTTTTTTAACTAAAAACTGAAACATCACTGAATAGATCTTCGCCTGAAAAACAAAAATATGCAGATGAGATACAAAAAAGTCAGAGTAACTATAATGTTAGAAACTGGTCTTGAATGGCTTCGCCAGTTGGACTTTTGACTTGGTTGTCTATCGAATTCGTAATTAGACAGCAGAAAAGTACACAAGTTTTTAAAATCCTAAAATACAATTGAATGAGACATTTCAATAATGTTTGGCATTTATATTTCAGACAACTGTACCAATTTTGTGTTGTTTTCAATACTTTTCACAATTTTTTGAAAGACTTATATTGCTATTGTCAGATAATTTTGGAACAATGTTTATTTCCTAAGTGGTTTTGAACATTTTGAGATATTTTTAATTTCGGAATAGCATTTTTTTTTTGCGATATAAATTGGGTGGTAATTTTAATTGTTTATTATAATGCAATATCAGTTATCTACACAGGCACTAACGTAACAAAATAAAGAGTTTTGGGAACAAAGTTGTTAAATTAAGCTTTGTGAAAATATTGTTACCAGCGATGCGATAGAGGTTGTTAGCCTCCTTTAAATCGAAAATGTCCATTTTATCTATCCCTGAGAAAAGGTTCTTGGAGTACTGGGTGCCGGAAAATTTTGGGACAGAGTTGGTGATTCTAGAGCCCTTGCTGAGATACTGCGGTAAATCCGGAGATTTGATATGATTTCTCGATCGCATCGAAATGAGTTTTTAATTTTGGGACAGTTTTTTTAATAGTTATAAATAAATATTAATAGAAATAAATTTCGAACATGAGTCAGCTAATAACTAGTAAACTTAGAAAAACGTAGTAACTTATAATTTTTAAAAATAGTTCAGAGCATAAATAGTTCAACAGAAGACTCCTTGAAGTTCGAACTTACTTGCAAACCCTGCTACGAAAAAGATGACCCGATTTTTTTCGCAGCGTTCATCTCGAAGAGATAGTTTCGACCAGAGGGCATCGTCCATTACGGCGTTATTAATCTAACCGTATCAACTTTTAAAGTGTTATAAATGCACCGTAAAAGGCAACGAATAACTGACAGCGTTTGCTTAATGGCGTAGACGGATGTTTAACGAAAGTAAACACGAATCGGCGCCCCGGGCCGCCATTTCTGTAAATGGAATCGAGAAAATTGACATCTGTTATTAGTTTGCATCAGATTATTAGTAGTTGTTTCTGCTTTGGTAACCGCATCTGATCCTCTTACTCGTCGACAGTCTGCCGACAAAGCTTCAGCTACGGTTCTTACCACGTATGACATGTGTATTATTACAATCACAGTAACATACTACATAAGTATACATATGAGATCCTAATGAATTGAATTTCGTGAAAATGCACGGTACTAAGATTGAACTCCACCTCAATCCGAATTAGATTTGGAAGAAATCATCAATACTTATCTATTTTTCGCTATGCTTTTTTTCTGTTTTTCTCCTACGTTAAATCTCTTCATTTTTTCATTTTCAACGTGAGTATAGACGCAAGCTTATTTGCTGATCACATATGTGCCACTAACAGAAAAAAAAAATTGTGGTTTCATTTTATTCAAATTTCTAAAAAAGTTATATAAATAATTGGTATATACTTTCTTAAACATAAAATCCGTTTCATAGCAATTCCTCAGAAACTTACACGTTCCCCAGACGAGAACTAGCTCACACATGAAGTACCTAAACCGAAAACGATACAGCAATAACAAATATAGTGTCTTACGACTAAAAATATCTTGACAATTTTATTCCAAATGGATAATACCATGGACTGATGTGTCGCAACACCGACGGTACGGGTGGTATTCCACGAATTTCTCATTAGGGCTATCGCACACAGGTATCATTCCGTATCAATTGAATATTTTAAAAAATACTCAGTGGCAGTAGTGATCGTTGTTTAAGAAGCACATTTTCGAAAGTGTGTATAAGCAAAGTGAGTACGCCAATTCAGTGTTTTGTTTTACTTGGTATACTTATTTCTTGGGTTTTATGACCCAATGAAAACCACCAAAACTAAACCAAACTAACCAAAACTAACCCAATGAAAACGGTGTACTCTGAGTATGCAACTAACTATACGTTCGCGAATTTAACCTCACATGTAGGGAATCTATTTACTTTTGGTTGCCCCCTTTGGTCTCTTTTTTTCAGGGTTCGTATGAGTCAAATTAAATTTTCTGCCGGCAGCCTAAAAAATAAAGTAAGATAAAAATTATTTGGAAACAACTGTGTGAGATCAAAGTTGCCTAAGGATGTTAATTGGACAAATAAAAAATAATAACGATTTCCTTTTAACTTTACGAGGTATCAGGAATTTAAGGATTGCTTGATTTTTAAAATCTAAAATAATGTTAGATATTTTAACCAAGCAAAAGTTGTTTCACCGGTCTTGAGACACTTTACATTCAATTCAATCGTATAACTTTGGCGTATTTTTTATATTGCTGCGATACAAACATATTACTACTATATACTTACTATTATTCGCTAAGTTAATTGAAATATACAATATTTTAATAAGTATCCCTATATAGCAGTTTCAATAGGTTGTATAACCCTATTAATTTCGCGGTCTAGCATTAAATTTCTAATTGGCCCTACGTGGATATCGCGTATCCTCAAGTCTTTACGCACGATTGTCTGGCGAGCCTGTCAAGGTCTACCGGTATTAATATGAACCAAGTATCGACAACGTCAGCTGTGGTGGGCGAACGAGTCCATTTATTATTATTATTATTATTACCTTTTGCACGTGCTCTTCCGAAACGCGATAGATTGCGGCGAGTTATGTTTGTTTTACCGGAAACGGTCTATATAGAGTGTTAAAATTCGTTGCAAAAGTATCAGAGGAGTTGTCTGATCAAAATATATTTTTCCCATAAACATATAAGAAGCACCTATTCCCAACTAAAGCCATTGTAACTTCTCTGACGTCCGTTTAATTCCCCCTTCTTGTTTTTGCTTGCTAGCACATTACTTGTCAGTTAAATATAGCTGTGAAATGATTACGTTTTAAAATGTATGTTTATAGGAAAAAATGGCTTAAATTCAATTCAAATTAAACACTTAAATATCTCATATTTAAACGGGTTGCCCGTTTATTGAATAATTATATTGTCATGTATACAAGATGTTTGTATTTTTGTAAAAACTTATTGTCAACAGAATACGCTCTATATTAAAACATTTTTTATTTTGATCTGATTGATAGGTCAATATCCCTATCTTACAGTTTCTGACATATTTTGAATGTTACGCCATAAGTGACGTTTGCAGGTCTACTGCCCGATTTCTGCGCCTGAAAGCCTTTTAATTGTTATACTTTTTACAAAACTTCTGGATTTCTCCTTCGTCGGTTTTTGTTGTTATTGAAGGGGATCCGCGAATTAAATAAATCTACAGCGCTAACAGTAAAAAGTTTAATAAAAAATTCGTTAATTTTTATTTCAAATAGAAACTCATTTTTATAATTTTATCGTATTCGTTCGTTATTGTTATTTATAACGAATCAAATGTGTGCAGATCGCGCAGTTAAAAAAGAAGAAAAAGCGCAGTTTAGTCTGTGAAATTTAGGAACATGTGCAGATCATTTCCTGTTCTACGAAAATATCATAGCCGCCCGGGACGCATCAATCAATTTTTAACGTCCTTACGGTCACTACATCATCCAATATGGTACGATATTAATATTCATATAATCATAGTAACTGTTCAAATATTTCAACAACTCCATAGGCAAAAAAGTCTTGCATCGCGCCACATTTTTAATGGTAATAAACGCGATATCCATTCTATGCAAATTAGTTGTGACCTATATCGCGGCTTATATGTCGTGTAGTATTTTGGGAAATTATTTTAATATTCCGTAACCACTCGAGCTTTTAATTTTGAATTTGTTTAAGGGAATATTTAATATTAATTAATTAGTTAAATGTTAAAAAGTTCATAGATAAAACAAAAATTGGTCATCGATATGCTCATAAAAATAGAAGACAAAATAAAAAGAAACTATAAGGTTAGGTCTTCGAATTAAATGTCAAAATTTAGCTACGTTGTAATTTGCGTATTTTCATTTACACACCCAAATTTTTTCGCAGTTCACCATGACTTTTTGTGATTTCATAATTTGTAAAACCGAAAGCATTCTTAAAATAGTTAGAAAGAAAAAATACTTACATTTACTAGCATTTCAGTTCTATAGAAAACACCGGAAGTTTACTTTTTGACATTTTGACGTTATCTCTAGCAAATTGCAATAAACGCGATGTTTTATTTCAATTGCAACACGTCCAGTCTATTACAAACAATTAGCAAGCAAATAAAATGTCAAGCGTTCGATAAAAAGGCACCGCGTATACTTAAAAGCGATAAATTACTCTAATCCTATCTTCGGGGCTGAATAATCATTTAAAATTCAGTTCTAATAGCGCTAAACTATTTGACATTTTAAATAGCCTGTAGACTAACAGCGGAAATTATACAATAGTAACGTGCATTGTAATCTTATATGAATTATCTTGTAGTCCGTAAATATATACGGATAGTTAACGATCACAGGATAATTATTTAAATTCTTAAAACTACTTAACGTTTTGATTTGATTTTTCCTGCAAAAATATCGCCTGGAAGCGTGTTGTTCTCGTCTGCCACAACTGAATTGTATTTCTAAGAACTTTTCTTAATACCCATTATTTGTACAAAGTAACTGAACTGATGAAGTTCACATTTATCAAGAAAGTCATTCGAATGCTTTGAATTCGTGTGAGCCATAAAAAACATTTAAAGCGTTGAAATAAAAATTTGTTGCAGACGAAGCAAATCACACATTTGGGCCTTTAGACGGTAGCATCTACGCGACCATCACCAAGAAGCCCGAGCTCTCTCCTGGGGCTGTTTCTAGTCCATTGGCGGTGTCGATGGACAGTGGCATCTCCTCAGCAGGTACATTTAATTTAATTTAATATTTGAGAAGGACGTTGTAGGCAGTTTTTGACTTCAAAAAAAGATATAGCGTGAAGTGTTACCAGGGCAATATGATTCAGGTTTTTTAATGATTACAAGTACAATGAAAAATCACAAATTGCCTTTTTTTTAATATGTTAGAAATTATTCTAAATTTTGTTTTAAGGCTTCAAAGATGAAATTTGAAAAAAAAATACACTTATTTTATAAAAAAGAGGTCAAAAGTCTATATATATAAAAATTGCTTTTTTATTTCAAGTGGTAGTTTATGCGGCTAATCTACCGAAGACAAATTACATAAGTAATTAAAGTATTATATTTAATGTGGTTTAGGTCGAATTGAGGTACAGAACACACTTTCTTAACTTTGCTCTAAAAAAAAATTAATTATAAAATTAATAAATCGTTTTTTTTTTTGAAGGTTTTGATTGCTTTACGAAGTTCCAGTACATATTCGTATCGTGTTTTGTGTTATTTTATTTTCCATAAAACGACAATAAAAAAGTCCAAAATTGGGAAAACATGCCAGCCACAAAAACTTATTAAGTAATCATAATCGGTCAAAGAGTGTACCCAGTGATTGTTTTTTTTTTAATTTTATATAAACTAACTAAACTAACCAAAACTAACCGAAACACCTTTTTCAATAAAGATAATATTTAGAACGATATATTTTTGACCTGACCTCGTATAATAATTCTGCGGGACTGAATTTTACGATAAAAATTATATAAAAGGTAATCACTGCCTATTCAAGAAATTATTTCCATATCTTAAAAACGAAAACCTCTGGGGAAGTTCAGATCATGAAAAATAATGTGTTTCACAAAAAAGTGGCAGACTATTGCGAAAACCGCATCTTTCAAAATAGTGTAAAAGTGCACGAAATCGTCCATATTTTTGGATCTCGTGTGAACCCAAATACATTTCACACCTGTACTCCGTACACCGTGTATAATAAGAGCTTCTTACAATTGGCCAGGGACATTTCCGAACACCTTGTTTGTATATTCCCTTTTAAACCGACCGTATTATACATACGATCGCTTTCCCATAACATGGCCATATTTGCAGGGCACCAGCATCAGAACGCCAATACGAACGCCTCCGGTAGTCCCCCGCCGTCGACCGCCCAATCGTCCCCCCTCACGCCCGAAGACCAGCACCGCGAACTCGACGAACTGCTATCCGATATGATGCTGACGGTCCAGAGCATTCCCGATTTGAAACCGACAGAATCGCGTCACGGTTACGATAGAGATAATGCGCGTTACGAGCATCGGGACAACTACAAGGAACGGTACGAAGACCCAGATAGTATACCATACCACGCGAGGGAAGATAGTACGCCATTCAGTTACGGAATAAACGCCGACATGATCGGGGAGTCCAGGAAGTTGTCAAGTCCGAGCCTCGTACGGAAGGCTAGCGTCAATAAAAGTTCCGGTGACGTACTTGCTAAGGTGAGCTTTTATTTTTTGTTTGCGCTTCCTACAAGAGTGTGTTGACGGCATTAATATCCATTCTAAACGTAATTAGAATAAAAAGTTTACCATTTGCATTGGACAACATAGAAATCATTGGGGCTGATATCAGATTATCTTTTTGCATCGTGAATTATTTCACTTCTTTATTATTTGGTTTTAATGTTATTTTTATATAGATTTTTAAATTAACAAACACATGTGCATTTTTTTTTCTTCAAAGAAACTTCCACAGGCAATTGTAAAACTTTTTATAAAACTTCTGGATCCCTCCTGCGTCGGTTTTTGCTGAGTCGAACTTGCTAACGTTTCGCTAATCATCACAGTTTAAGTCAAGCTAACAGGACGATGGGCGAAACATTAGCAAATTCGAAGTTTTGTAAAAAGTAAATGTGCATTCTTTAATAGACATTTTAATAAACTTTTTTTGTATATTTATTTTTGCATAACAAAATTAAGACTAGAACAAATGGTACATGAATTATAATAATTCCAAAAAATGGTAGTAACTAATAACTGATAAAAATATAATAATTATAATAATTCCAAAAAATGGTAGTAACTAATAACTGATAAGAATTTAATTGTGTTATGTGAAACACTAAATAGACTTTCTGAAAAATTAATAGAATTAATTTAGTATTAAATTTAGTTTTGGGGTAGTATTATTATTTTAACGATGGACAGGGTGGCCCATTTAAGAGGGATCTATACATTATCTCGAAACATACGGGGGTTACAAAAAAAAATTAAATACAAAAATTGTTTCTATTAAAATGACTTTTATTTCTTTTTATTTCCCTAATGGTCACTTTTTAATACACAGGGCGGTAAAACCTACATTTTATTGCATTTTTGGATAGTCTGTTCAAAGATAAATACCGATATATATGAGTATGGGTCTGTAATGCACCGTTTCGAACTTATTAGCGATCATCTTCAAAATTCCGGTTATGTTTAAACCAGCATTGTTGGGTTGCATATTGACTTTTTAAACTTTTTTCCATCTACTATTTTTACGAAAATAATGCTTTTCTTTAGGTAGTGATCAAATTGTGTTACCACTTTTCGCAAAATTATACTTTTCTCAATTTTCTTAAAAGAGACACTCTGTATATTATTGGATTTTCGAATAGCCACTGTAATAACAATTTCAATTATATAACATAGTACGGGTCTCTGACTTACCGTTTTGGCTTAATTGGCAATTATTTTCCAATAATACATAAATTCTTTTACATTCATAATTTAAGAATCTTGTAAATAATATCCTTAAATGAAAAAAAAATATATTCAAATTCTTAATAATATAGACCACATGTCTTTAAAAATATATAGAAACCTACCTGTTTACTGTTTTACTGATTTTTTGACAAGTGTACTATAATGTTTTAAGCGTATTTTTTCGGACTTCCATTTTCTATTTATTTTATTAAGTTCCATTTTTGTGAGTCTATTTTGTATAAAGTATATGAAGAAGAAAAAAGTTTACCTATTAGAATGTTACATCACCAATAACAAAAGTCCGGCTCGTGCTCTCAGACAATATAGAGCCAAATTTCCCCATGCCGATTGCATGTACATATAAACTTGATCCTTTGTAGCACTTTGTAGCACTAGCACTTTCCTACTTTTGTAACTGCAATAATTCAAATGGTTAGTAACAATGATGCTATATACAAAAATTAATAAAATAGTCGCTCATTCAGTCTCTAATTAAATTCATACGATCTTTTCCGTGAAATAGTTTTCATTTAAAATAAATGCAAATTCCGTTTTCTACTGAACAGTGAACGTAGTCTGCATTTGACAGATTTAGGGTATGAAAATTGTCATAAATTAAGTTTTAGTTATTAAGCTTTGGATAGACAGTTATGCAAATGTTCTATTCTAGATCGATATGACCCAATTTATGCCTTTGTCTTATTGTGTTGTCTAGACATTTAGTCCGCTAAGGACACTAATTATAGTTGCGTTTAATGTTTTATTTAAAGCGGTTTTACGTAGAAAAATAACTTGATCCGGCTTTCATTGTTCCCGCTAACTACACCACATGCCAAGGTTTACATCTGATTCACCGATTCAAACCATGTCACTTTTCTTCGTACGGACATTATAAGAAAATGTTTATTCATTCCTACTCGGATTTGGTATTCGACGACAGATCATGTATTTACCGTATCGGCAGTTTTCCATTTTCAGTAGCTACTGTTGAGAAAGAAGACATCTATTTACTACGAATTTTATAATTACCCCAGCAGGATATCTTTTTCAGAACAGTTTATGGTTTCCCACCGCTAAACTATTTACCTATATGTAGAAAAATAATGCGAGTGTGGTGTCTATGTTCTGGGAGTTGATGTTTATATCAAAAGATTTATTTGAGGCCATTTTATTACCATTGTATCAACTATCAAGCCTACTAGTTCGGAAGTAATTTTTTAGTAATAATACTTGGTGCTAAGATTAGATACAAGTACCATATTTTTTATTATTTATTAGGAAAGAAAAAGGTGACTACTTTAAATACATTCTGTAGGAAGAGATGAACGAGAACTAAAAAATGTTTTTTTTACTATAAAAAGAAGTGACTCAATTATGAAATCTTAATAAGAATGTTATTATTTTTGTAATGACTCACCACAGAAAAATGTATTTTTTGAAATCTCGAAATGCTCTATTTCTAGCATGGAATAGGAGAAGAGAAAGAAGAATATACGAGACAGACGTATAACATGAATATCAAAGTCAAAATTATTCAGTGATCCATGCGTATATCAGATGGATCTTGATTAACTAATCTGTATGTTGAATAGACTTGTAATTCGTTTAAGAAGATGCACAACTACAATTGCTTCGTCCAATTCTATTGTTGTACTATCGGGCGGTACCTTTTGCGCGTGGCATCAAATGCAATTTAGAACTAAACAATGTAGAAAAACAAACAATTATTGCTACGCCCATCTTTATTTCGTTGCGTATCGCCATATAACTACCGGTGTAAGCCAGCAACAAATAAATAAATGGTCTGCCCACACCGTATCAAAGAAAATGTCCAAGGTCGAAAATTGCATAGTTGACTTTATTTCGACCATTCGCCATATGGCCAACTCGGACAGCTAAAAATATAGATTTTTTTTTGTTAAGACTGGTTTTGTCAATGGTAAATTTTATGTATCGGAAACACGGGACCAGTTGAGTACTTATCGAGACTTCCCTTATTTGGCTGAACAATATTAATTTTTCGATAAAACTTTATTGTCATATACTGAATTTCATTCAATTTTGCACACGCAGGAGTTCGCGAAGCGATGCAAAATTATTATGGTGTTACTAAAAAAATATTTTAAGTTTAACAGATTGAGAAAATAATAGTATTAACGTACCAATTCAGCCTACGAATTTTAAATTTGAACTTTAATTGGAACGTCGGCATAAAACATGAAGAGAATACAAAATATAGGAAATAAAACAAAAAAACATAATGCTAATACTTAGTTATTTAACTTTATTTATTTTTCTTTAAAAATTAAAGTTCACATGAATCTTCCTTGCATTCCTCCTATGTCGGTTGGTGATAAATGAACCTTGCTGTTTCGCCAATCATCATGTTGACTTCTTCAGGGCTTAACTGAAACTACCTCGCATTTTACTCCGTACCTGCTTATGTACTGCTGCTTGAAGGAGACGGATCTAAAGGCGGATGACTGATGCCCATATTGGTGCAAGGTAAAACCTGATTCGCAGTTAAGATTACAAAAACCTAGTAGGCCTACTAACCTTAAAGGATCATAAAACCTGTCATCCAAGAATCCATAGAAATCTCCTCTTCTTTCACCAACAAGAATTGTCGCGGAACATTGGCTATCCTTTAGCTTCGTTTCCCTCAAAGAATATATAAGCGGGTAGAGAGTAGAGTGCAAACCAATCAAATTCGAATGTGTATATATATATATATATATATATATATATATATATATATATATATATATATATATATATATATATATATATATATATATATATATATATATATCTAATCTAATCTAATCTAATCTAAATTAACCTTGAGTATGAGTTCTGAAAATAAACGTTCTTTTTCTTCTTAATATGAAGGACTTTCAATTTTAAGTGGTTTATGAGGAAAACCAGCTTTGTTTAAGGTTAGGAAAAAGGCGAATAAAGGAGTTCTGTGCTTTTTAAAATTTACGGAAAACATCCAAGTCCAGAATGTCTTTACTTTTATTGATGTTTCGGAGATTGATATGATACACTAATAACATATACAGTACACGAAGATTCGGTCTATAAATTGATAAAATCTTTCGTTATATGTATTCAATATTAAGGATTGATTCCGTTTTTCCCTAGTCGGATACCCGAAATAAAGACATTCGTTAAAAATACTAATAAACACTAATGGCTAAAAGGGCAAGCTGAATTTCATTCGCTTTTTCAAGAAGTTGATACCAGTAAGAAACAACGAATGTAATCTCCAAATATACAGATAATAAAAATTTATCTATTAAACAAAGCCGGATATTTGGGAAAATCGAAACAAAATTTTAGAACATATTCTCCAAACTGGTATAAGAAACTTATGTACATTGAAATGAAATGAAGTTATGAAAATTTAACTTCCGTATTATGTCAAAACCTATAATGTTACAGCACCTTCGTTCAAAAGAAAAACAAATGCACTTTCCTAAGATTTGTACCATCTTTTCCAAACATCCTGTATAATGACAATTATGCAAAAACCAAGAAGTCTGCGCGCCAATTCATGAGCCTCTCCAAATCCTTTCCTTCCGACGAAAGAATTTGTCAACACGTAGACTTAGAAACGAAAACAACATGCGTCAAACTACCCACTTTACGGCTATCCACTTTGTTGTTCATTTTTAATTATTGCTTATAATTGAAATTCTATGTGGCGCCTATTTGGTAATTTTCATGATTTAAAATGTTAATAATAACAAACTCATTGATTTAATTTTGTTTTTAGGTTCAGACACAAGTGTATGCATCACCTAAACCAGTGCCAAATTTCGAAAATGATCCGGACCCAATCAAGAATGCGCATTACTCCTCATTAGACCGACGAACATATTCGCCAGCTCTCCTGCGCAAAAGCTCGCCTCGCGATACCGACTCCATCGACGATATCTTCACCCAAAGTGCTCTAAACGCTCGGCCCATCAAACGTGAGGAACGCTATGAGTACTACAAAGATGAGCGAAAAAGATACAACGATCCGCTAAAAAGGAGCCATACTGATGATGCATTGAGCAACCCGGACCGACTTATCTACAAGTCGAACTTCATCGAGAGTCCGTATTCAGATTCGGAGAGTCGTCAGTTCAGGAACCACCTAGCTTCAACGGAGGCGGCGGGGGAAAGGTATGTTTTGGTTCCGAGATCATTATTGTTATTCCGCATTTTTAATGTTGTTCAATAAAATATTACATAATTTTCGGCATATTAGAATTTTTCAGAACATCAATGATGGAAGCGAATAGAGATTATTAAAAACTTGGAACCCAATGAAAATTATTTTGGTTAATGAGAGCTAAGATTTTATTTCTACAACCTTTTACTACCAGCTAGTACTAGCGATAGAATTAATACAAAGCAAGTTTTACATATATTTATAACAATTCCTTCCCATGGGAACATCGCAGATAATAGAAACGCCGAAGTTGGCATGTCCTGTGATGACTTCAGCAACTTGCAAAATATAATAAAATTAACACAAACCACGTAATTTATTCTGGAAAAGCGTTGTAAAAATTATGTTTCCCAACACTCAGAAAATTATTGTTCTCTATTAAACCCGGAAAACTATAATAGTATATTATGCAACAAGTGCGGTAAATGGCTTAAAAAGTTTACCGAACGTATTGCATACTATACTTTTTCTACGACCGTTAGTTTTTACGTACATTTTCGCAAAACAACACGAATACATTCACTGACATGACCGTCAGAATTGACAAACGTCAAAACTGAAAGCTTGGGAAATATATCCGAAAACATCCTATTGCTCCCGAACCCGTTCGATAAAATCCCGGAAATGTCCAAAGGGGCTCGGATTCGTGGGAAACGAAACTGACGTGGTAAAGTGACGCTTCCTGCGCTCTAGATCGGTGTATAATTAAGTATTTTACAGACGGGAGTAGAAAAAAGTATTTACAATAATAATAATAATGAATAAAAAATGTCAAGCTTTCAAATTTTGTAGCTAAAATTACTTAAAACCAACAACTAAAACATTAGGATAAATTTATCCCTAGTTTCAATTTATTCAATGGAGGGTAAAAAGTTTAACCAAACCACATTTCATTTAGTATGCTGTCTAATAAAAAATTTTATCCTTATTTTAACTTGTGGGGTACCTCGAACTCCTAATCCGCAAAAACATTTTTTAAAATGGTAGTGAAACGTACAAAACGCTATTTTTAGTGTAATTGTTTTAAAAGAACAATATTTGTGTGTCGACTGTTGTTGGACTTGGTGGATCATTTTTGATACTTGCTTGATTCGTAAATATGCGTTATCATAATCGCCCGACACGAAATTTATTAATTTAATTTTCATTAATTTAATTATCTCTAATAAAAAATCTTAATCGGCAACAAGCATAAATTATATGTGCAAATTTTTGGAAACCTATCTGTTTTAGAATAATCTAATAATCGATTAATTATAGAGTTTTTTTCCAATATTTTAACTGTAAATAAGAAAGTTTTTAATAGACATAATTTTTGCTCCACAATCTCAAAACAGGTTTCAGTTATGAACTTATTTAAAAAAAAAAAGATGCTTCACATAAATTCACACAAAACTTACTGCAAAACCAATGACTGGGAATTGCTGTTGGTTCTTTGTTAAAATACGTGAGCATAAAATCCGGATTGAAAATATTTAAATGTTTATGTTTGACTCTTGTTTGCTCTTATATTAAGTAAATTTAGGTATACATTGGTTGCTAAAAATACACTATATCTAAATTCGAACGCAAATATTTACGTTTTCGGATATGTGTATACGAGGTAAGCGCCAAAGTTTCTCAACATTACTACTGTGAAAGGCCCCCATTCTGTATTTATATTACATACAATTCCACACCATTCAAAAATTAATAATACTTAGTACACTGTTCAATTTACCTCTTCATAATTTATTTATGGTGTTGGGTTCTTTACAATACACAAGGTAAAATTTTTGTTTCCATCCAAGAAAAAAAATCTTTTCGATTTCTTTTACACATGCTTTTCATTTAGTAATTGTTTTACACACAGTCATTTTCCTAACTTTTATTCGCTCTTTGTCGGTTTCACTGATAGTAAATAAGTTTTAACCGATTCGAAAAGACAACACACCTATCGCCATCTGTAAGGCTGATTAATTTTTGCGGTGTTCCCATATATTAAACAAATACTGACAATTTTCGCAGAAATACTTCTGTGGCGCAATTTAATACCTTCACCTGGATATATCATAAATCGATTTTACCGCTTTTTTCTGAATTTGCAACAAGGGAACACATTTTCAAGCCTTAACTTTAAAAAATTGTTTATTTGGATTACGATATATTTACTTCTAGTTCCATGCCAATACAGCCATACAAAAACGTCGTATATTACATGAAATATTTGTTAACAAATATTTTTTTCTACTCCCTTCTGTAAAAATACCCAAGAACCCGCCGATCTAGCGTACGGGAAGCGTCACTTTACCACGTCGGTTTCGTTTCCCATGAATCCGAGCCACTTCGGACATTTACGGGATTCTACCGCACGGATTTATAAGCAATCGGATGTTTTCGGAGATATTTCCCACGCTTTGAATTTTGACGTTTGTCAATTCTGACGGTCATGTATTCGTGTTGTTTTGCGAAAATGTACCCAAAAACTAACGGTCGTAGAAAAAGTATAGTATGCAACAAGTTTCGGTAATAGTATATTATGCAAGTGCGGTAAACGGCATTTGACTCACGAGTTTATTTGACACGAGCCGAGCGAGTGTTTAATAAGCCAATAAGTTAAAAAGTTGACTGAACTTGTTGAATACTATACTTTTTCTACTATCGTTAGTTTTTGGTTCATTTTCGCAAAACACGAATACATTCACTGACATGACTGTCAGAATTCACGTCAAAATTCGAAGCGTGGGAAATATCTCCGAAAACATCCGATTGCTTCCAAACCCGTGCGGTAAAATCCCGGAAATGTCCGAAGTGGCTCGGATTCCTGGGAAACGAAACTGACGTAGTAAAGCGACGCTTCCCGCACGCTAGATCGTTGCGTAATTAGGTAGAAAATGGGAGTAGAAAAACTTTTTAACTCACTCGTTTATTAAAAACTCGCTCGGCTGTGCTCCGCTCGTGTCAAATATACTCGTGAGTCAAATGCCGTTTACCGCACTTATTGCATAATTTACTATTTGGTTACCAATTTCTGCGGACATTTGCGGAAAGAACGACTTTTTGAGTTTTAAATACGGCATTTTTAGTTATAACAAAGTTTTATTTTAAAATGATTTTTTTTTATATCTTTTCGCTGTTGCTAATTTTACATGTACATTCTCAGTATGTTATGTAAATTAATTCGATTAAATTAAACCTCAGAACCAGTTTATGTACTGGTTTCCTCTTGAACAATTAAAACATTTTATCTAGGTGACGTAAAATGAAAACTTCTGTGTTTATGACCGCTCGCTTCCAAGAATACGTTACACGCTCCTGTTGCGATAACGGTTAAAAGACGGGATATTTGTCGTACCTAACTGTCCGAAATAACTTGATATGCGAGCGAACTAAATATGGTAAACATTCGGAATATGCCCTTTATTTGTTATGTACGTATTTGCTCGCTTGAATGCAGAAACTTAGGTAGGGTCTTATCTGCCATAGTTTACTTCAGGGTATATGGTATTAGAAAGTTCCGTTCCACTTTCTTGGTACGGTCACATGAGCTTTATTGCGGGAAAGCACACCAACCACGCAGCGCAACGCTGAACACTGATATATAACGAACATATAGTTTAGAACCGTTTTTAGAAAAAATGTCTGGAAGATATTGTATATAGTCGGTCTCCAAATAATTGCCTTTTTAAGTTGCTTATTGTGAGTTACTACTTATCTGTCATAAATTTTGCAGCAAGTGACTCTCCAAGTATCAGATCCGTATTCATGTTTTTAGTTGTAAGAAATAAATGTTTACATATTTTTAAATATTATCTAGTAAGTTATTTAATGACAAATATAAAATGATATTAAAAATTTAGGCAGTGTTATCAAGAATTATAATGGCACCTAACGTATTGTTCCCGGCATTCTCGGAAAGTAATTGTAAAGACTTGGAATGAAAAATTATATGTAACTTATATAACTAAAGCGGCCCAAAAAAATGCTGAAATTGTTTTTAAGTTTCTAGAATTACCGCCAGGGGGTGCAATTGCATTCTTGAATTTCAGATCCTATTTTTTGAGAAATAATGTTATACTCGTATTACAGATAGCTGAAATTTTCGTTCAATAGTTCTGAAGTTTTTCTACGGCCATTAGTTTTTGTTAATTTGTGAGTGAACTGTGACACCTGACAAATGTCAAAATACCACGGTCAAAATTTACCGAAATCATTCCATCGCTTCCAAAGCTGTGACGAAAGTATTAGAGTAACAAGCACAAAAAATATATTATACTGGTATTATATAATAGTTTAATAACATATTATGCTTAGAATTGTATTTGTAAATTACATGTTACACTAGTCCACTTCGTTAAAGAAGACTATCTTCATTATGTCAGAAACTTTCATCATCATCAAAAAGATTGTCTGATAATATATGGTATTTTATCGAAATCCGTTCAAGATATTTCGACTTTCCAGTTGGGTTATAATTGTTCCAGCACTACGCGAAATGGAAACCTCACATGGTTGCAGCGGCAGCAACAAAAGCTGAAAGATCGAAGGGAAATGCAGCTGCGCGAAGAACGCCACCCACACGAAATACGGTTGCTCTCCGAACTGAAAACCGTTCAGTCGCGTCATATGAGGCCTACGGCTAGCCACAGATTGGATGGCTATACTAGCGACACCACAGCTTTTCCCGACGATGACGATGACTACACGATCCCCTTGCATATCAACACCATGCAGAAAAATTACGAGGTGCTGCCAAATTCTACCACTAGCACATTGAAATCGTCGTACGCTTCACAACAGGAGAGGCCTTTTATGATGGTCAAGTCAGCGCATGCGAAATATTCGCAGGTAACTTCACTTGGGGTTCATCATGAACTCTTATGATATAGATTCTATCTACTAAATCATTTTTCTTAAATCTTCCTTTGGTAGCGATTAGAGTTCACAATCACCAGTTTATTTTTTTACAGATGTTTTAAATACAAATTTGAAAACTTCGGTACACTCTGCAATAGCTTGCAGTTTTCACGTCTGTATCGAACTATTTCTTATTAATTTTGTTTAAAAGTGATATTGCAGGACCGCTTTGAAAATATTGATGAGAGTTCCACCCAACAGCGGTTTATGATTTTTGATAAATATTAAAATAACGTTCAAAATCACACTAAAATGATTGTTGGTACAAGAAAAACTCAATTCTTCGACAGGCGTACGTTAGTCTAAATCATTTTTAAGAGTTAAATATTTCTAATATTACTTGGTATTTTACATTAGTAGCAACATTGATTTCTATTTTTCGTATATGTTTAGTTTTAAAAACTCTGAATTTATATTACGATCAGGCAGAAATTTTTTAATTTCTACTGATTCTGGTGATATTTTTATTTGACGATGCACTTGCACTTACACGACAGTGTCTTTTTCCACTTTACCTCATAAAATTTCGCCTCCGGGTTTTTTTGTTTTTGTTTTATTTAATTAATTTAACATTTTAGTTTAACTTTTACGAAAAGTACCAACGTATTACTTCGTATATTTATGATTCATTCATGAAGACAACAGCTATTACGAATTTAATTTATATTCGTAGGTAAACCAGCCCAGAGCGAACAAATCAACGCTTATATGTTCTAAGAGTCATTTTCATTGTAAAATAATTAAATTGACAACATTACACCACCCGTAATCACCTACAAGCACCGTAATATTGCAGAACACCGACCCAGTAACTGCTCTAACCTCTAACCCCCATGGACAAATAATAAGGGTACCATCGGACGTTGGAACTGATAGAGACCAGGTAGATAACCGATTACTTTCCGTAGTAGAACACCGTCACTATTCGACAACCGGACAAGATCCCGGAATGTCGCGTAGCGCCCAGCAAAGCAGCAGGGTGGGTATTAAACGCGACATGCTGGATGAGAACTCTCGGCTAGCCGCTCTTGACGATCTAATCGCTAACCTGTCTAGTGGCTCTGAGCACTCTAGTAACAGTCCTAATAACACAGCATGGCAGCAGGTATTAACACGCTCTATTTTTGATTTTTGTTTCTATATTTTATTTACATTACATAGCGCGGATAGCGTCGAAGATTTACGTAGGTACAAGGTTATTGGTCGAGGGTGCCGCAAAATAACTGCTTCTTAAAAAATGGTCATATTCCAGTCTCCAGTTTGTCTAAAGTTAAAATAAATTTTCAACAAGCCCGTTTTTTAATGGGAACTTCTTTACTTGTTTATGTACTTGTTATTTTCAAGTTGAGATAAATAACAAATTTGAAAATGAGAAGATATCTCAAAAAATTACTGAATTAGCTTAATAACAATGTAGTTTTGTAAGGGTTTAAAAATTTTATGATAGGTGTGGTTTGGAACGTATATGTTTAATAATAAACCTATTTAGCAGAAAGTGCGCCTTTAAATTTAATGCAAAAAATAATATCATTTTAGTGAAGAGTTACGAAACTTACAAAATATAAGTTATATTCCGTGTAATTAGAACATTCAAAGTAGTTGTATTACATAACTTCGACGTCCCCGGTTCTCCGTCGAAGATTTTATTTTTCAATATATCTGCCGTCACTAGCATTCCGACTTCTTGTTGTGCTAATCAAAGAATTCGAATAAAGTTTCGCCATTCTGCGTTTTTTTTTATTGTATTTTTGTTTGTTAAAAAGCGCGCCCTTAGCGTATAGCCCTGTTTACGTGCTGATTGCTTTTCTCTGCAGATGCATGATATTAAATGAAGATTCGACAATTTTTTTAAAATATATTTGTCATGTACTTACCTGACCGTGACAAAGCATATATTTTTTAATCGTGAAACTTGCTTGAGCGCCGAAACAGTGCACAACAACAAAAGTGCTAATAAAACTCTGTTCTCTCAAGTATCGAGAAGAGTCGATCCAAACTTGGAGGACGTCGAACGACAATGAAACATCGCCGTCGCATAGTTCGTCACCCCGTCCCCAAACGCCAGCTTTTCCCGTGCACGCCCGAACGCCGTACCTCAACGCTCCGACACCGACCGTCCAATTTGATTTGGGCAATGAGCGATTGCCACCTAAAAGTCCTACAACCCAGCGGTGAGTTTTCTTAATGATCTTATTTCCCCAATAGACCTAACGAGCATCAATAGTATAGGAATCAATACCTACCAATTCTAAATTTTAGAAAGGACCGACCCTTGACCCCCAACGATCAATTTTACGGCATTTCCGATAGCGAATATTCGCAAAGTACATTAAGAAGCGCATCTGCTTCGGGTTTTAGAGAGTACAACGGGTCCGCGTCACCCACGTCTTACTACGGTCACTCACGACACGGCTCGATATCGTCCAGTAGCGAGCAGCAGTCACCGCAGGAAGTATCAGCCGCTCACGTTAAAATAGTTCGGGACACCAGCAAATTCTGGTACAAACCTACTATAACACGGGAAGAAGGTAATCAATTAATACAACATAATACCCAATGTAATGTAATATTATATGTCGTCTATATCTTATTATCACCTTAGACCAAATTTGGAAAACCCCTCGGTACTAAAGTATTGCGATTTATTTAAGAATAACTGCCAAAATCTTAAATCGAATGTTGAAAATGTTTGAACTATATTTTGCTCCCGAAATTTTGAAAAATTTAGTAATTATTAGTAAAAAGTTTGTAATGTCTAAGTATAAAATATATTTTATATAAATTAGCAAAATTCTTTTTGCTTTACTCAAATGACATTAATTTTACAGTAGTTATCTAGGGTTATAGACAAGTTTTTTGCAATTGTAAATTTAATGTAGTTTGGAAGATCCAAAAAATTCTTATAAACAAATAAAAGTAAAACTGCAATATCAGGTAGCACACGTTGATAGTATTTTGTGACAAACTGTGACTGTGTCTTTTGTGACAATGTATTAACTTGGTGGGAAGTAATCAATTTTAGACCACATAAAACATAGAACTGTGGAAAATACTATTGTGTATGTTTTCTTTCAGCCATAAACATGCTGCGGGATCAGTTGCCCGGCACTTTTGTCGTTAGGGACTCGAATTCATTTCCTGGTGCCTTTGGACTCGCATTGAGGGTGGCTACAGTGCCGTCGAATATACAGACGAAAGTAAAGGGTTCATCCGACGAATTAATTCGACATTTTCTGATTGAGCCAACGTCGAAGGGAGTGCGATTAAAAGGGTGCCCCAATGAACCCATTTTCAGCTCACTTTCGGCTCTGATTTATCAACATTCGATAACGCAAATAGCTCTGCCTTGTCGGCTCGTTTTACCTGAGCGCGATTTAAAGTAAGTATAATTACAAGAAAACCTGGGCCTACAACGGCAGTAAAGAGCATCTAATAATTAAATTGACAATAGGTTTATCGTTTATTTTTACTAAATGCAGATATTTTGATCACGGGAGCGTCAAGTATCATTCTTATTATGAGAAGCATGACCACACCTAGATTTAATTTTTTACGAGAAAACCAAACCGTGGTCATTTTAGTTAGTTTAGAAAAAAATTCTCTTGTATGTTTTATAACATCAAGACCCAAATGCTTAAAAAAGAAATTGTTACACATTTTGCAGAACTAAGGTTTAAAGCTTGCTTTTGCTACTTATATCCTTTTCAAATGCATAATGCTTGACCATTACATTAAATATTGTTAAGATACGACGCCCAAGGTCAGCAGGCAGCTCAGCTTCAGCAGTTGCAAGTACAAGGAGCGGCGTGCAATGTTATTTACTTATGCACTATTGAAATGGAGTCGTTAACTGGTCCGCAAGCCATGAAAAAAGCGGTGATGCAGCTGTTTCAGATGTCGCCCCTACCCGACACAGCCATAGTTCACTTCAAGGTTAACGGGCAAGGGATTACGTTGACCGATAACAAAAGGAAGCTATTTTTCCGAAAACACTATCCAATTAACACAATATCGCACTGCGGTTTAGATCCAGAAGAACACCGTTGGTTAGTTAATGCGGAGGAAACGGGTTCAGCGAAAAGTTCCAAGTGAGTTTTAATGTCCCATCGGACGTTCCATCATTTTCTGAAGACACAATTCTAAAAAGAAAATGTAGATATTGTTTTTTTTTTAATTAAACTGTAAATTATGACTTAGTTTTCTTTTTCAATTTCAAATTTTGTGATTTACATTTTCTTTAACTTAGGCAATTTGCTTTACAAGACATTGCAACAGATGAAAAAAACAATCAAATAAAACCAACCATTTGGTGTTTGTTTTCACTAATAATACAAATTTTCTGTAAGCTTTTCAAAAATATTAACTTAGCATTTTTGTGAATGCTTAACCGTTCTATGAAATATGTTTTTGCACTTGTTATATTGTAGTCGCCTAACTTGTTTCAGCCGAATCTTTGGTTACGTGGCGAGAAAGCCCAACGTGACTAACCCCGACAACCAGTGTCATTTATTTGCTGAACTAGACCCCGATCAGCCTGCCACAGCCATTGTCAATTTCGTAAACAAGGTCCTAAGTTCGAACGGCATCAAACCAAATATTGTATAATTACACAAAAAGTGTGAGTTAAAATCTTGAAGTTTGAAAAGTTTTATTTCATTTTGAACAGGTTCGTGTAGTGCCTTCTTACATTCGAAAATGCGTTAGTTTTCGATGTTTTCGAAAACGAATCCATTATTTTTTTATAAATTTTATCGTCGGCACTTTGATTTCTGAGAACGTGTTGCCAAATTTTTTAACATTGGAGCACAAGGAGAAGTCTAATTTGTACATAGCTACACTACCGATTGCATTAGCCCACTGAACCTTCTAAAATCATGTAATATTTTCCTAGTCTTATGTTTTACGCATTAACTTTGAGTATTACTTAAATTATTTTTGTTCTTATATTATATACTTTTAATGTTGTATATATATGTTATGTATTTATTTTAAGCCATACCTAAGAAGCTGCGCTTCGACCCTGTGAATTGCTCGTATTCAGAATATAAGTAAATTCACGCGAAAATTGTTTGGCGGAGGACGAAGGACTTTGTTAGTGTTTTTGTTATGAGAAATTAACAAAAAATTACAACGGAATGGATGTATCATAACTATTCTTGCTGCATAATTTTGTTGCTCTACCTGTCCATCTTCATTTGTTCTTGGTCGTTCATGCCGATGGGGAAAAATGGGCCAACACGCAGGCATGTTTTCTTTTTATCAAATCTTATGAATGGCATGATATAAATTTTTTTATTTAAATAAATTGATTTAAATTTTAGCTCCATGAATTAACAAAGAAAAATGTTGTGTCCATCTGGGAATATGTTTTATTACCCTTTTGAAACATTTTTTATTGATAGTGAATACTTTCAAAAATAATTAATTACGATTTTAACTATACTTAATTTTTATATCTTTATGCGATAGCCATTCAGCGATATTCCAGACATTCCTTTAGGAAACAATAGACTTGGTAAAATTTTCTAGCAGTGCTCGTACTAATTTGGCTATCCAATATGAGCTAAATTTCTTTTGAACTTCTTATTGTTTCTATTCATAAAATGAGGCAAACTTTTATATCACTAAATTCCGATTAAAGCTTTAAAAGCATAAACTTACCTTTGTAATAAATAAAATATCAATTTACATTCCATTTGTTACTTCCTGTGTACATTGTGCCATATGGAATCATACACATTTTACCCTATTGAGGAGGGTAGAAAATAAATAATGAAGATGACGAGGAATGAAAGGTTTTGTTCAAATAACAAATTATACTTTGCATTAAGCGATTTCTATAAAACTGTAAGATAATTAGAAAATGGATCCATCCTGAGAACATTGTTACTATGTACTCAAATGGACACATAATACAATAGAGGCTCAATTTTATACTTTCACATATAGAGTAAAGTTTGTCTGATATGTGCCCACAATACGCCGTATCATCCCTATTTCCCCTAAAGGTAAAGTCACCAAAAAGCAAGCTAACAGTGTTGATAAACTCGTAACGTTGTGATGTCATTCTTATTCATTTTCACGTCGCACTAACAATGTCTTAGCAGTGTATCAAAATAGTTCTGAGGTATATTTAAAGGACTACTGCATTAACATTAGTCACTGAGTCGTTAAAGTCTAAAGAATCTCTATAAAACTGTTGTTAGTTCATAAACAAATACTGTAAGATTATTCGCTAATTTTTATTTTCGCGAAAGTACAAAAATTTAAAATATCCAAATCTGTTCACTGAGCATTATTTCAAAACCATAATATTGAATTGATATATTGTATGTGAACTTAAACACTAACAACGATGTTTCAAAAAAGTAAAGGTTACTAACAATAATGTTGCGTTTTTATAATATCCACCTATCCTTTTATCCTTAGTGAATCGATATACAGTATGCCTAGAGACGATGTTGTGTCCACGTCACGGCTAGTAGGGGTAAACCCGTAACACTATTGTAAACTACTTACTTGATATGTTCAGCCAAATCAAGATCAAACTCGATAATAGTGTAAATGACCAGCGCTACAAATTAAGCAAAAAATTCCATTTTGTCTATGCTGTCATAAATAAAGTTATTTATCAGCTTATTTAATTATGGGCATCAAACAGGGGAGGAAATTTGAAACGGTCTCGAAAAGAAGTCACTTTACATTTGTGCAAATTCGGAGGCACTGCTTTTTTAAAAAAGCGGTTTTTATCATTTTGCTTTGCTTTAAGGTTTTCTGACAAGTCTAAACGTAATCCTTGAATGCCGAATCAGCAGTATTCTTTATTTATTAACAGATTGAAATGTTAAAAATATTAAATAATAAGGATTTTCATCTACAAAAAAATACATTTTGTATCTTATTTACGCATTTTAACATTAGTTAGTCGGGGTTAAATATGACAACAAATTGTAAAATAAAATGCTGATAATACAGCCTATCTTGGAAAACAAAGAAATAGAATTTTAACTTCATACATCCTGTACTTCCTGAACCAGAATTACACTATTATTTAGAGAGAAAGGATGCAAAAGGCTTTAAATACACATTCTGCAATTTAGTTATGAAGAAATTTTAATTTACAGTTCGCAATGTGAATAGTTTTTTTGACTTCATGAAAATGTATTCATGGCTATGGCTTCATGAAAATTATTATGTAGTACACCTATCAAAATTTGCAGTTATTGTAATTCCTTGAAAATAAAGAATACTTTATTTTTGCGACTTGTAATATTTAAAGAATCCATAAAACATAATTATGATCATTTTAAATTACAAAAAAAAGATAATTTTTTAATTTCATATATCCATTAGTTTTATGTGTTTAAGATGCAAAATTTTGATTATATATATATAAAAGCAAATGTCATTATTTTCTACACAGGCATGTGCAAGGTACCACTTTAGCCAATTCTAGCGTTTTCGGTATTTTAGTCATGGATTGGAAGGAATCGGATATTTTCCTTAGATATTTAAAGCAGTGATGGTATTTTGGCAGTTTTCAGTTCTGATGGTTCCGATGGTCTTCTGCGTTTATCACGTAACTTATTAAAGTGAATTTTTTTATGACGGTGGTACAAAAAGTATACTGTCCAACTCATTCAACATTTTTACAAACTCATCTGAAGTGTCGTTTATAAAACTTGTTATTATACTGTTTAAATGAACATAAACCGACACTGTCACCTTTTCGGAGACGGCAATAGTGGTATTATTTAAAAGGGATCCCTGTTTAGGTATGTATATTTAACATAAAAAGAAAATGCAATACTAGCTACAAGATTTAGTTGTGAAGGCAACCTTGCATATCCAACCAAAGATTTTTTTCTGGAGAATGGAGGATTTATTGCAACGCTTTAAGCCCCCTTTGCTTTTTTAACTCTTACAATAATTTTTAAAATTTCATTTTTATACAAAATCAATACTGATCATCAAATCCAAACAGAGCTTTAAACGCACTTTTTATTCAACAAATTTCCGATGTTTTTAAGTGTTCAAAGATATTCTAATTTGCATTAAATATCACTTTGAAGGTTATCCACAAAATACGCAACTCTAAATTGTAGTAACGATGTCGTTATTTTCGATGAAGGAAACCTTAAGAGTAACCCAATAATTAAATTATTCTTGTGTCCCTTATGTTTTTCCGATTTAGTAATCGCTGCGTTGCATTTACAACAACAAACGAATACAAAACTATCTTTTAAAATGGAACACTGGATCAAAAACCAATACGAAGTGGCATTCGGGAGCCGGAAAATTTCGTCCGCTATTAAGATGATATTCAAGAGAAACGAGAGCACAAACGAAGAACGTTTTTTAATACCGGATCCGAGTTTGGAAACAAAGATTGCACAAAAAAAGACTGAAAACGCGAGAGAGTGCGACAGACAGCAGAACAAATTCGTTAGACAAACGTCCAGTCTCGTTGGAAGTCTGAAATTTAAGAGGCAAAGTCAAAAGGAGAAAGACAGGAGACCCAAAATTGCATCAGTTTTGGTCACATACGATAGAAACGGTGTTGCCGGCAGTAAGTATTCAAATTTCATATTTCTTTAAATTTATGTCACATTTTCCACACTTTTTTCAATATTAAGTATTGAAACGCATCATATCTTTTTGCTAGAAGCAATACAACAAATTTTCTTACAAGTTCAGAATGTTATTTATTTTTTTTGAAATTCCACCCTTCTGCCATTTGTATCTTTAGGGATATACGCATTAATACTGATTCGCACAGCTTCTTAATTTTAGCACAGAGTACTTTATTCACCAAAAAATAAATACATTAGGATCTAATGAATACTTATTTTAGGTAAAAAAGTATGTCAAAAAGTCAGTTTAGTTGAAGAAACTAGTGCATACTTGGCATTTAGTGGTAACATAACATATGGATATGTAAACTTCGTCTTCGTAACCTCAATACTGTCATATTGCAAGCTACGTGATGTTTCAATATGCTAGAATTTCTCAATAATTATATATTTAACTTTGAATTGAAAATTAAGAACTTCACGGTATAAATCAACATTTTTAAGTATATTCACAAAATTTTTCGAAAAGCGTTTAATAAAACACAACGCTTTTGTCAATCTCGATAAGAGGGTTTCGAATGCACGGGCATTTCAAAAAAGACATTACGACTTTAAAATAGTGAACGTTTATCAAAATTCGACGTCTCTGTTATAGTAACCCGGAAGTAACAAAGTTTTTTATTTTAGATCTTGGAAACTGCAACAGAAACGATTCTATCTGCACAAGAAGAGAGTGCAACAGTACTACAGTATGACGTTTTGTTAATATAAGCACTAGCTCGTATTATTTTTGTACATAAACATTCCATATTATAATCTGCACCTTACAAAATGTTTTGTAGGGATAATGAAATTGGTAATTCACGTAATTAAGTAAATATGTACGTACTTTTAGGAATAGAATACAATATTTTAATGTTATATGTCTAGGTGATGACACAATAAATGTATCATCAGTTCGTTGGATAAGAGTTGTTTCATTGAAAAATATTTACCTAATCAAAACAAAAATATACACAAACCACCAATACTCTACGGAGCAATATCCAATAGCTATGAAAATGCAGGTTATTTTATTGATTTGGTCAAATTCTTTTCTTGGGATCACTATAAATAAACAAAATTCGGTTAAGTATGCATTAAATACAAAGCCGAAATCGAAAATCTGTTTTATGATGTGGAAGGAGCGTAAAAATATCCGATAGATTTGATAAGATTACGCTATTAAACTGCACAAATAGAGAAATTAAGTCTGTTATTACGCAAAGACACAGTTTTATAAACTGAGAGAAACTTCAGTAAAAAAATTTTATATTCGTCAAACTATTTTTTATACCTAGTGGTTTAGCTGTATCCTGGTAACTAGAAATATTGTCACATTAAAGTTGGTGAATTGAGACCACTGGGTATGTGCTATAAATATTCCTGCGAAGTATGGACACTTACCGATAAATCACCCTGTACATTTTTCGACAAGTACGACATTTGCTTAGTTTTCACAAAACGCACCTAAATACTCCATTTATACATAAAGTGCGACCTATTTCCAAAATTGACTTAACCCAAATTGATAGTTCGCTTACTATTCTTCAAAAAAAATATGGAAATAATCTGTAAAACAGATACGGTAAAATTAAGTCAGTTTTTTTTATTTCATTTTAAAAGAATAAGTAGGTATAAGTACAATATAAAAATATAAGTAGGCACTAATCTGATATAAATAATAAAAAAAACATGCTGTGGATATAGAATGTCTTTAATTGGCCAAAATAATATTTGGTTGATTGATTGGTGCATTGATGTGTTGATTCAGGATTAGGTTGAATACTACTGATAGTATTTTGTCAGTAAGATTAAGAGCCTGAAAGTCTTGGGGAACGATCAAACCTGTAATGAAAATACTGACCATATGAGGTGACTTTAAGTAATACTAATTGTTGTGCATCTGGCTGCTATAAGTTGATAGCAAAATTCCTTCAAAACACTCTTACTAGTTGTCATGTTGAAAATGTTGAACTAAACACGTCCCAAATATTAGTCTCGAATTGTATCTGCTAAGTCCATTGGGAAATGTAGGGATTTTTTTGGATTATTTATTTGATACAAAATGCTTAATCCTAATAAGCTCAAACAAAATATGGCGCGTTTCATTTTATATTGTCATTAACATTTTTCTAAAGAAATCGTCCTAATTCCTAAGCAAGCGAAAAAGCACATTTTCTCGATCATCCCAGCATGTCAGCTAAAATTAGCCTTCCCTTTAAACTTCGAATATTAAATATTCTTCGTCGACATTGCACTGTTCGAAAGCGCTAAACGTATTTATTATCGACAATCTGTCAAAAAATTACTTCGTTCAATTCGTTAGAAAAATCGCACCATGAATTTACAATTGCCGCATTTTGGCTTCATTCGGATTATATAAAAGCTGCTACAGACCCAGGCGAAGTATAGTTGGTGTCTTGACTTTGTCGAATGTCAAGGGGTGGTAAGACTCATTTTTTTAGTTAGTTAGCGTTATGTACCATTATTATGTTCGTACTTTTGATGTTACAGGAATATTTTTAGTAACAGAAATAATAAAAAAGTTTCAATGAGTAGAAAACTATTAAAAGTATGGCACAAATTGCAACAACAGGCAGTACTGGCTGGACAATAATTACTAAGTCAAATGGTATACGATTTTTTCTCGTGCTTAAATTTAATATATCTATAACACACCAACTTACACACTAACACAACTAATTTTATTTATCGGGTGTTTTCGGTAGATTTTTTAATGAGAGAAAAATTATATTTTTTATTATGAAAATTATACTTGAGAACAAATGTATATATTTTTCTACATTGCATTGCGTTTGTTTTTAACAAAATTATATAGCCCGAAAGCTTATGCTTATGAGAATTATTATGGGGTTGTATGTTTTTAATGTTTTACCTGTAATGTTAAATAGGTGTAAAAAACTGCAAAAACAATTTTATCTACCCAAAAATAACTGACAATTTGATATTCCAATCAGTTTTCGAACAACGATTTAATTTTGTGTGTTGACCATTCTGCCAGAGTGGTTTGTAAAATTTGTGGGCATGCGTGCAAGAATATTGTATATCCTCAAAATTCGCCAAGGGGTAAACTAAAAATTCGTCAGTTGTCTTCAATAGTCTAAGTTACTTATATATTATTAAATTCATTATATAACTAAATAATATAATAAAATAAAAGTACCTATACATGTTTTATTCTTTCAGAGCAGAAATGAAAAGTCTTTGTTCCAGCATGATGCTGGTGATGATATTTTATTTCATATTCATGTACCAGTTAGGGATAAGTTTCGGCGTCATGCGAGACGGAAATATTGTCTCCCATAACAGCAGAGGTCAGAACCCAACGAGAATGATATCCAGGCATAACAATCAGTATTTTCCAGCCAAATCTGATCCACTTCTAAATGACTTAGACGGTTGGTATTACTTACTTTAAAAATATTTTGATTAATTAACTTGATGTGATTCTTACTTGTATTTCACTCTAAAACTCTGCGTTGAACACCGCGTTTTAAAAGTTTAGGTTTGCCTGAAAATTCGTATAGTATAACGGAGATATATAATGAAATTTCAATTTAAATCTTTCATCTTTCAATTATTATAACTTTTTTTCCACTTTTAATGTTCCTAGCTGCCAACTAGATGTCGAACAACAATTAGTATGTCTGTCAATTTCACTTCTTTTTCATAGAATTGACACCTATGAAAATAACGGAAAAAGGATAGTAATGAAAAAAAAAGTAGGTTTCTATAATAACTATATCTAAAATTTATATTGATAATGATTAAAAAGTCATAAAGGTACACAAAAATAATTTAATTAATAATTTAAGCTTAAAGAAAAACAAAAATTGTAGGAGATAATGTGATGGTTGAAACAATTTGTCTTGTTGTCCATTAGACACGAAATTATCCATTGTTGTTTTATTTTCTACCGCATCCCCGGTCATATTTTCATAATTTTTGCTTACTTTACTAAAACAAATGGAAAAGCGCCACTATCCGGTGTAGAGTAAGCAGGCAACAAATTTAAAAGAATGAAGGGCGTATCATTTACAAATTGAAGGTCTCTTCCGCATCGCATCAGCGTAAAATTGTTTTAAACCACCCCAATTTCAGATGTCTATCTTACAACTTAAGTGTTAGTGAAAACTAGTCCAATCGTAAGTTAACGGTAATCGTAAGTTAATCGAATTTATAACATACTGTGTGCTATTCTTGCAAAAAAAAAATTATAATTTCTGTAGCCCGTCCATACCACTATATTTTTTAAACAATATATTGAAAGGTTGCTTGATATCTCAATTGTGTGTAATGGGAAAACCATTAATGCAACAAACTAACTGCTCGATTACTCTAAAAGTATGTGCTGAGCAATGGTACTAACTTTTACTTTTTACAGATGAGGACGAATTTGGTATTTCCAAACGGCAACCGCAACAGGACGACTACGGGCACCTTCGATTCGGCAAACGAGACCAACAGTTCGACGACTACGGACATATGAGGTTCGGACGCAATGGGAACGAGTGACGTGCGACCGTTCAATAGAACAATACATTTACAACCATAAAGATAACTGTGTTTCAATTCAGCAATATAGATCATTTCTGGGTTAACTCTAAAGGATTTTATTTATGACCTGCGAAACTATAGTTTCCTATGTATCCAAAGACCGATAAATCCTTGATAAAACTTGCAATTAAGATAGATAATAATGTTTATTTCCATTGACTTTTAACAAAAGTATCGGGTAATGTCAACAAGTAAAAAAAATACATTAGAACACTAAAATACAAACTTTAAAAACAGATACATACAAACGCACAAAGTATATCACTCTGAGAGATCGGCATTACTACAAAGTATTCATCAATAGAATAAAAAACATTCTTATTCAAAATGACCTGTTATTTTTTTAAATAGATGGACAGGCAATATCTGTTTGACGGACAAAGACAACTTTTTATATAGTTTTATTGGTAAAATCATAGGGCTGTTAGTTACTTTGGATAACTTGACTTGGCACCTGCAAATTAAGATTGGCTCTAAAATTGAAATCTCCATCAATTCTGGTCATACAATAATTAGATTACTCCTTATGTAAATTATGTATTTAATAAATTATGTCTTTAATATGAAAAAAGAGGGAAACGTTAAAATATTTAATTTTGGGAACAGGGTTCTACAAGAGTGACCACGAGACTTCTCCAACATTGTTCGAACAATACGTGTTTGTTGGACAAAAACTTTACTCTGGAGGAGTTTTCCCAGCATATAAGCGTAAGATAGGCAAGATTAAACATATCCGAAATAATACAATAGTAAAAGCTGAAGATCCACACTCGACCGCAGTCGCCAAATAACAAAAGTGTGCATAGCCATTTTGTTTAATACGGAATAAATTTGGCATATCCAGGACAAATTACTGTCTATGAACAAACTCAAATACTGGACAACGTTAGTCTGATTAATCGATTTATCCTGCATTCCAACCAATAAGCTCTTGTTCATATCCCTAAGCGAAAACAACATCATCTTAGTCTTTGTCCGGTTCAAAGAAATACGGTTATTATAATATAATGGGAAACCAAGCTTTGGGAGATTGATAGATAAATGTGTTCTATATATAGAAAATATTTTTGAATAACAAATGTCGCGTCACAATTTCAAAACACAAATAGCATTTTACCTTGATTCAGGAAACCCAAAACACGTCTGCGCGTGTACTGCTTCTTCCAATGCCACTAATATCACTGAGAGTAGGTATTAAATCATTTGTTCACATAATGTGATTCATTCGCATGACCACATATTGTTACGATTTAGGTCAAACAATTATTTTCGCCAAATACTTTAAAACGATTTGACGTATCCTTGCCATACATACATGATACTAGAAAATGTTAAATAAAACTTTTTGGTTAGAGGCGTTCGATAGTGACGTGCCTGGCTAACCCTCCCCAAATTCTATGCACAAGCGGAAATGCTATATCTTGTTGCATCCATCTCTGAAAAATAACCTATAATGCCTCTCCATATCTTTAGCGATTTTTCAGATATTAATAATTTTTCCCATTTTTTACAGCCATATTTGAATTCGTGCATCTGAGTTTTAGCCTAGAATTTACGAAGATCTCATGCAATCGTTTCATGTTCACTCCATAATATACAGGGGCGTTCAAAATGTACGATTATACTGGTGGGAACAACTATTTTGGGAGACAATTAAAAATCCCTCTAATGATATATCCAATATGGCTGTAATTGGAGCTGTATTTTAAACTAAAAATTCGTATAAAAATGACAAGAAATTTATGGCGGAACAGATTATCCAATAATATACTAAAATAATAATAATAACAATAATAATAACAATAATTTACTCTCGTTCAAAAGATGGCGCTATTAGCTATAACTATAACTATTTTTGAAAGGCGTTCCTACTAACCACGGTAACATACATATTTATCTCTACATAGATTCGAGTTGCGTTTTTAAGTTAGGTAGGACTGCTTTTTAGGATTATTTAAATTTTATTTGTGGTATTCTGGGAATATAGTAGCAAGTCATAATGTTTAAAAAATATTCGATATTCAGTTGAACAATAGAGTGTAGCGTAAATATTTTGCTAAGGAATAAATGTTATTTTAAAAAAGTGTATGTGTAAAATTTTAGTATTACCTTTTATCTAACATCAACGTCAAAATCGAAGATACAATTCAACAAAAACTGCCAACACAGACATCAAGCAACTACTCACCCTACAAAAAACTTTTGGTATTATTCCAAGGGCTCTTGATTTAAAAACTAATACATCCAGGGCACTCTCTTGCAACGATAAATGACAGCCCCCGCGTCAGTCAATCAATTCACGAAGTCACTTTTACATTTCGATTGCGATAAGTTATAACAATGTCCAGTAATAGTCAACACGAATTTGAAAATGAGTTTGCCAACATCGAGTTATACTGCAGAGAACTTTTAACTGAGATTAACAGAAAACGGGTAAGAACGCATTTTTAAGTATGTTAACTCTCGTTCATAATTTCAAAAAATAAACCTACTTGATTTGAAGAGAATATCTACATTACAAATTATAACGCGAAGCTAAAAATTTAATTTAATTAATTTTTAATTTTAATTAATTATTAATTTTTCTCTAATATTTTCAACCTTGGTAGCAATAAATGTTTGTTTGCATGTATATACGAAAAAGACAGAATTTGAAAAATATGGATATTTGGGACTCCAACTAATTAAAAAAAGTATTAAATTATAAGGTGAATTAAAGTCGAACTTCGATAACTCGTGCGTGTTAGTTTGTCTTGATTACTCGAATATCTTGATAACTCGAACGAAACAAATGGTGCCAACTTCGATAAGTCGAATTTTCTCGGGGAACCCCCTAATTACGACCGATCTTAACCTGTCTTTTTAACGTATCTATGCAAGCAGTTCAGTTTCCGTGCTTGGTAAGTTCACTTGTATGACTTACTAGATAATACTAAGTCAAAAATACTGTCCCTATTCAATTTACACATTATATTAAAGACATTTTTGGATTTTTGCATTTGTTGACATGTCATCAAAACGTACTTTAAAAGCTTTGTCTGTTGATCAAAAATTCAAGGTTATAAAAGAAGTGGAAAGTGGCTCAAAAAATAAAGATGTAGCTGTGAAGTATGGGATTTCGGCAAGTACAGTGTCTATAATTTTAAAAAATAAACATTCGGTCATCACGGCAATGGAACGTTTCGAAGAAAACAAAAACAATAACATTACACTAATGGATTGTGTTGACGACATAACTACCGCATGGAATATCGACGTTAAGCCTGAAACAATTTCCAATTGTTTTAAAAAAGCCGTTTTTGGTCAGTTTTCTGAATGGGAAGAAGATGAGATTCCCTTCATTTTCCTAAGTGAACGCCTCAAAGAAAAGAGTGAAGACGAAATCCAAATAGAAATCGAGTTTAAAGCTTGGACAAACATTAGAGGTACAGCAGAAGGTAGCACCATCAACAATTTTATGCATGTGGATGAGGATATTGTTACTTCAGAGTTTCCTACTGATGAAGATACCATCGAGTCCTGCAGATCCGAACCGGTACAGTTAAACATCGAAGATGACTGTGAAAGTGACACGATGGAGGAGGAATTGGAAGATGATTCTCAGCAACCACCTTCAAATGAATTGGTTGAAAATTCGTTGATTGCCTTGCGTTCCTATTTGAAAACCAGTGAATACACAACCGATTCCCTCTATGATTGTTTAAATAAAATTGAAGCTTTTGTTGAAAAGCAAAATAAGAAATCCGGTCGTCAGTCACAAATAACTGACTTTTTTCCAGTGAAAGAGTAAACTTTAATATGTACATACGTATGTATGTATATGTGCACACATACTATGTTTATATATACCGGGTACATATACAATACATATATATTTCATAATTTTCATTTTTTGTTCAAAAATCATAGATATTAGGGCATTTATGTAACGTATAACCCATTTTTAAAAATGAATGAATAAATGTTCATTCACAAAAAAGTACATGCATTTGTAGTTTTTATTGATAACTCGAAATTTTCATCTGTCAAATCGCAGTTCGACTTATCGAAGTTCCACTGTATCTTTACTTTTACCGCAATCAAAAATCGGAAATTTTAAAACGTTTGTAAGTTAATTGAACTGAGGTGGCCTTTACTTGATGAAAATCCATTTATCCAAATTAATAAGAACTAAAAGTTCAGATTTTCACCAAATTATATATTATGACATGACAATTGTTTCGACAACACCGTGTCCTTATCAGATGTCATTTGATAAAGACACGGTGTTGTCGAAACAATTGTCATGTCATAATATATAATTTCGTGAAAATCTAAACTTTTAGTTTGTAAGTTAGTTTACCTAATGAAATGCATATTTTAGGAGGAAAATTCCAAACTAAAAACTGAAATGGAAGCACTAACGAATGAAAATCAAACGTTGAAAACATCGTTAGAAATAATGAAAAAGTCTCTCGAGGAAAATGAAATAATATTGGAGGTGTTTACTAAAAAGGCCAATGAATACGAACAGAAATGCCAACAAAAACGGGACTTGCTGTTGAAAACTCAACTTCAGTACAAAATAGCGGTACCATGATTCAATTACAAAATTGTACTTATGACTTTAAGGCTAATCTAAATTAGGTGGCTAAAGTTGAAAGTTTGCGCGAGGATCTGCAAAGTGTGTACTTAGAAAAGGCTCAACTTCAAAAACATCTCTCTAGTGTGGAAGAAAATTTTAAGCAGGCATCCACCAATCAACTTGATATTTCAGACAAAATAAAAGGCATCAAAAAGGTCGTTAATAATGTCAAATAGTAAGTCCGATAAAAGCGAACTCCCGGAATCTTTTAAGTTTCAAACCTTAATCATAATCCACCTGCTTATAGCGCAACGCCTTAATCATTGTCACATTTGCTAATTATGCCTAACTGAGATAAAGGAACTCCTTTACAAAACCAATAAATCCTTCGACTTTCCTGTTAGGATTTTTTAGCAAACAATGCGGTTCCCTCCATAATTTATACATTTAGAACCGACCTTCTGTAACTATATAAATATAAAAAGACGCATGGTCATTGAATGGAGGAACCTAAAAAATGACAAAAACGATAATCATTAATTTTCGTCTCGGTACATTTAATAATTTATAGTTAGTAGGACTTCCAATTATTGCCATATTGCGGTTCGAAAATATAGACACTAAAATATAAATAATAAGTATTTCCTGTAACCCTGTGAATATTGATTGAAGTGAAGTCGAAATGGTAAAAAAGAACCAAGCGGAAAGTTCCAAACTGGCAAGAGAAATTGATCTGTCTACGAGGGCAATCCAAAAATGTGACCAGCTGAAGGACAAATGCAAAAAGTTAGCCGACGCAAACCTAGCTCTCGACGAGTTATGCGTAAAACTAGACGGTAACAATTTTTCCACAAAAACACCCTCGGAAAGTTATGTTCCACTTTACTTACAGCCAAAAACAACAAGTTGTGCGAACTTATTGATGAGAGTAATATTGGTAGCCACCCGTATTTAGAAACAGAAGTTCTTTTAAAACAGGTAGCATTAGTAGCATTAAACACTTCTTTAAGAACGAAATTCCAAAAAAATCATATCGCAAAAAAAAACATAAATTTACTATCTCTGTCCACAGTGTTAATATAGGTATTCTTTTTAATTCTTTAGCTAATTTAATTTTTACTCTAAAATATTTAGCACGACTAATTAAAAATACGCTATTTAGTGTACGGAAATGCATAGGCGCCACAAAGATACTATGGAGAAAAAAGATGAATGTCTCAGACTTCTGAATGAAAAATTGTACGTCGAGAGAGAGAACAATGTCGAGTTAATAAAATCCAACAAGAGGCTGCAAAAAAATTATAAATGTTCGCTAAAACAAATCGAACATCTCAAACAACAATTGGAAACATCAACGCACCAAAATTTCAATAAATTTGGGAAATTAGCCATAAAATCGGAACCTGTTATAGAGATAATGGATAGCCCATCCAATTAGCGTAATAAAGCACTGGACAACGCGGGCAGGGAATTAAATGCTTTTCGTAGTCACTAAGAAGGTAACCCTTATTAACTTTAATAAAAAAAAATTGTAAACAATAAACGTAGCTATTTCACCACTCTTTGCATTATTTTTGATTTACAATTCACATACTGGGTCAAAAAGAGGTAATTCTAATATGATACGTGGCCATAACTATTTTAATTTTATTTTATTTAAAAAATTTCGATTAAAAAATAACACCTCCATATAACAAAATTTACATTAAGCAACAACTTTCGTAAATCGATAAAAAAAATACTCGCCGTGTTACGATGTAAATACATATCCCAGATGAAAATAACAATAATAATAATTTTATATTAAAAATAAAAATTTACGTTAATCACAAATAAATTTGTTCTACTCTAAAAAAGTATATTATGCAACAAGTTTGATAATCGCCAGTCACAAGTTTCTTTTGTCTCTTGCTTCAAAAATATTTCGTCCATTTTGATTTTGACTGCAATTTTATTAACAAATATTTACAATGTCCACAAGATTTTAAAAATGTTTTTGCCAACATCAAGAAAACTGCAGTTTGGGCCCGCCAAATACATGTATTTTTAACTGGTAATTTTTTGGTGGGAGACATGTTGTAATTTTAGTGTAATTTTGTTTTTAAAGGTTGTCTTGAAAATTTTATTATATTATGCTCCTGGTAGTTCTTTATGATAATATGTCATATTATGCATTAAAATCGAGGTCAAACTTCAATTTTATTAAAGCAAGTTTATTATCATATTCCTTCTTAGCATAATTTAATTCACAACTTAATGTACACATTGAATTGAAATATATTTTGATATTTTATTTGCAAAGTACATATTCTCTACTACTACATAGGACCATCTATTTTAACAAAAAAAAATACAAATAATAACAATAGACACTAACTATCAAAAAAATCACAAAAGGTGTTTCTCATTTTTCAAAAATGACAAATGCTTTAGTCTCAGAAATCCTGCTTGATATCCCACGGCGAAATAGCTACATGCTTGAGGATTCGAATTAAACGAAATTTTATTTATCGACGATAATGGATAAATTTCCGTCCAAGAATTTGCAAACTTATCACTGTCTACTACTTCCGTATTGACAATCGGAAAATTTCCTGGATCTTCCTACAGAAAAATAAAAATGAAAAACTAACCAATCAGGAACAGTATTTACACCTTACCAGTCGGTAATCTAGTAAACAGAGGGCATAATTATTAATTGTGTGTTCATAACTACAAATATCTTCAACAACGTTTCCTTGTATATCAGCTTTAGCGACAATTCTTGCATAAGAGAGTAACTGAAAACGTGAAAATAATAATATTTGGGATTTTATATTAATTTGTTAATAAAATAAACCAAATTTTTGCCAAAACTACAGAATCCACAAACAGCACCGTATATTTCTTCATGAAGTTTAATTGCTTTGCAAATTGCAAATATTATAATGAAAAAAATAACGTACTGATTTTTTAAATTTATTCCGTCTCGATTCCATGCTACGCAGCATTTGATTGGGAAACACTGACATAATTTCCCCCATTAAAGAACCGTGAACAATCCCATTGAGCCAATCGCTAAACGACAAGCACTTAATACCGGATTTTGACACTGTAAGGGTGGCTGGTTCCGAAATGAAATCTCTGATGGGCTTCGCCAGTGAGTAAAATCCTATAATAATTAATTGACAATACGCAGCTTTCTTTTAGTAATTAAGTATACAAAGCGCTTGACATACTTTTCGCAGAAGAACAGGACTCGTCTTCAGCGATTGCACAACACAGCCAATGCGTTAACCAAACGCAATCGTTTAGAGGGGTACTTCTCTGAAAAGACGTTTTGTCCAAGGTGGTCAAATCCCACCAAATCGTTTCTCTATCAAATGACGAGGTCGCTAGCCACCTGTTGCCTCCGTTTAGGTGGCTAAGGGTCAACCCTAATCACCAACACTTTTTTTAAATTGAAACGTTTTATAGAAAAAAAAATATCAAAACTTTAGTTCAAGTTTAGTTAAAGAAGTTGTTTTGATCGCAAACGTTTTTTAGCAACTTCAAAAATAAAAAAATATTGTACTTATATATTAGGAATTTTAAATAAAAAACTAAAATTGAGGAGTACCCTGGGACCATTAAAATATACCATGACATAAAATTACCGGTTATGTTTGAACGGTGAGCCTGTATCGCAAGATAAGAGAAAATTATTTCGTCTCCGTTTATGCTAGTTCTTCTCAATAAACTAGACTCGCAGTTTAAGTCGAACATGCCGACCATACCATTTGAATAGCCAACGGCTATATATCTATGTCCGGCAGCCTACAATTGATATAAAAAGCCACGGGTTCAAGTCAACACGATGGCGTTTACCTTGCTCCACGATAGTTTCACTGGATAATATTTATCTACTTCAGCTACATTTCCCGAATTCAATTGGAGCTTAATAATTGAAGTGCCTTTGTAAAACATGCCTCTGAAAATTTAAAATTAAATTAAATTTCACAAAATACTACTTAATTGAATTAGATTGAGTTAAAAACAAATACCAAGGACTACGCTTTAGTTTTTAGTTAGCTTTATAAAAAAATCCACCAAAAATATCTTACCGGTCCTCCTCCAATAAATTGTGAACTGAAAAAATATGTACAAATGAATCGGAAGCAGCCACCGCCAGCAATCCTAGACGATTTTTAGACGGCCCATTCGAAGTATCAAAACATCCGGAAGGGCACCACTCCAGATCCCATATTGGTCCTTCATCTATCCCTAAACCATATAGAAGCGACGGTACTAATTTTGACTAAAAAAATGCAATCGTACTTTAGTTTTAGTATACTGAGTGTTTGAAAAAGTTGTTTTAGTGCTTGTAGTAGTAATATAAAAAATTCCACAACAACATACAGTGTAGGTAGGTTTTTGTTAGGTACAGCTTGGACTTGACATATGGATAGAACTTTCCCATTGGTGTATTTGTGTATCTAATTTCACTTTCACCTAAGCTTTGCATTAACTTTTTCAAACACCTTCTATAGAAATATTTGTGTAGTGGTTTACTTCTTTATTTTTTAAGACTCCAAAATCCCAGAGTAAAATCAGCGATTGACAATTATAATTCGCGTCTATTAAATATTTTTCAGTCATGCTACCAAATGAAGCCACAGCCAAAATCTGACGATGATCAGGTTCGTTGAAAGGTGTTGGTAACCACGCCATCGCATTTATGGGCCCTCCACAAAATATAGTTGTATCATCTGGAGCAAAGACGAATTTGTTATGAACCTACATTTGCACAACGGCAGGTTGAAAGAATACAAATGGTACTACCACTCCTTCAGGAATTTTCACTTCAAGAAAAATATTTAAAAAAAAATACCTTCACATAACTCCACAGGTTGAAACAAATCGATTCTTTTAAAAAGGCAATCTTCTAACCCTTCAGAATTGTTCTTCCCTGTAAGCGTTTTGGCAGCGACATAACAAGATGTTTGAGTTTGAGGCAAATATTGGGCCAATAAATCGCATTCTAACAACTGCCAACCTTTGTCGTTTTTTAAATTAGGAAAAAGTTGTCTATTGCTGCAGTTGTTCTCGTAGCTACAAATTTACCTCATACGTTTAGAAAAAAAAAAAGAAAAATGGTTAAATATTTCTAAAACATAGGTTGTCAAAAGGTTCCCTCTTTTAGTTTTAGAGATGTAGAATAGAATAATCAACACTAGGTGTTGATTATTCTATTCTATATATTGAATTTTATTTTTTTAAGAGTGTAATTTAAAATATTTTTTATTTACAAGTTATAACTTTAGTTCTAAAAATAAAGGGCATTAATGAAAAATGTTTTTGGCTTTGATATTTTTAATATTTTTGCAACTGTTTTGTCGCATTTTCAAAAATTTGAATTTTATTGAATTATTCTGTAAAGTTTGCTAATACTAAAGAAGTAGTAGGAGTAATCCAGTATCAACTAAGAAAAGAGTATAACTAAACACTCATCAAGGTTCCAATCGCTTACAGAACTAAATAGTGTTATTTTTAATTATATTACTGTTTAACATTCGCGCTGTGTAAAAAAATTTCATCTATTAGTAATAAAGAGGTTAAAAAAATACTAAGAGGAACTTACAATTCCAACATCCAGTCATACGAAAACGGATATACGCCTTGCTTTTCAGACCTATTGCCCAGACCAAGCAAAAAATTTGGGGTAACTAAAAAAATATTTAGGCAAGACCGTGGAATGTCAGCTCAAGCACCCATCATACCTTTATAGCAGGCGTTCTTTTGCAACTTTTTTTTTTCCTCCATCATGAAAAGTTTGAAATACTCCGCATTATCTTCCAACAATTCGTCATCGCTAATTTCAAAATTTTCGTCTATGTTCATACCGTGCTCGGCATGAAGATGTTTCAAAATTTCGGATTCTTGTTCAAATATGGAAATACATTTTTTACACGCAAAGAACTGCAATTTGAAGAATTATGGAGAATAAATGCGCGAAATGACAATCAAGGTGAATTAATGAGCATTCAACTGATTTATTTATTCAGTAAATATTCTTATAAAAGCATTTATAGTGTAAAAAAAATAGAATATCCAAATTCAAAATAAGAAGCCACGAACATGCAAATAATGTTAAGACCAAATAATGAAGGTTTATTATTAACTTAAAACGTATACCTGGGAAGGTTTTTTATTACAGCTGTCCATATGCACCGCTAAACTTTCGACCGAAGTGTCTGTATAAATACATTCTGGAAATTTGCAAGTGATGGTAGACGCATTTTCGACTTGTTGCGCCAACACTGTGGATATCGAAGCTGACTTGAAGTCTTCGTGCGTAAAGTACTTCTGCAAATGTATTTTAAACGTCTCATATATGGGGCATTTCGCGTGAAGCAGAAGTTTCCGATTTTTCTATATATGAATTTGGTAAAATAAAATTTGAGTAACTCTGTGGTATTAGATAAATAAAATAGAGGACATAGAAAAATTAAACTAGATTACACAGGGTGTTTTTTGGTAATTGTTAGCTTAGTGACAACATTCTCACCTTCTGAAATCCTAAGACTATCGCAATGAGTATTCCTAAGTAAATACGTAAAATTCCTTTAATGTGCAATATGTTAAAATGGCAACAACAAATCAAGTTCGGGGTGATTTATTATTTTAATTAAATATAAAAATTAAAATAAGCAGAGAAAGACGTTTTGTATCTTTCTGCTACATTGTTTACAATATTTTTATAGATAGCGCAAAACGAACTTAAAATTCTGGAAAATAAACTTACCGTTTCAATATCATCAGCACATATGTTTCTTCCATACTTGTTAATCATTTGAAGAGCCCTAAAATAATTGGAAGTGTTGTTTGAAAATAAAAAATACTAAAATATACCTAGTACATACTCGAAAAATAATAACTAGTCCATCTACTTCTGGCCGTTTAAAAATAATTTATTCTGTAGTTTGCAATATCCCATATGTCTGCTGTATGGACATATCAAGCATAAGTACTTACGCTTAATTTAAATAGATATTTTCCGACTTACCTTTTGTATGTTGTTGTATGATGTTGACTATTTGAAATATTTTTTAGTGAAATAATGTTCGACCAACAAACACCAGAGAAAAAAATTGTAGTAATTAGTTAATTAAGAAATTCAAGTACAATGAACGTGGCATGAGCTTCAATAATACAAATATTCCTCCGGCAAATTTTAATCCGGCAAATAAATTTTTCTATTCAAATATTTAGCAATTTTAAAAACTAAAGTATTAGTTACCTTGTGGCTATCAATCAATTAAAATATTAACACAAAAAAATATTATAACAATTAAAACCTACCCAAGTTTAGTCATGTTTTATTGTGGACTGCTATGGTTCATTTAGTGAGGCCTCTATCTATTGGGTTTAAAACATTTAGTTTTTAGTTTTTGTTGTTGTCATTGTTTTTCAATTTTCAAAATTTTGTAAACCAGGATTTTATTGAACTTTTTACAAACAAAAAATTAATATGGAAGCCATCAGTTGCTTTATTGAAATAACAAAACACAATGTTATTATAAAATGAACACAACAAATACTAGTTTCGGTAATTTATATTATTTGACACCAAACTCAATTCTGTTGTTTTCGTCTATTTTTTTATGGTAGGTACCTAATACTGAACAGTACAACACATATTAAAATGTATTTATAATATGTACATAAATACATTTTAATTCTTACCTAGTACGAGGTCCCACAAATTAAATTAAATTAAATTAATTGAATTTATAACATTACAAACATTTGCCATACTTTTGAGCCGCTCTCCTCTTCAGATCACCCTGATCAGTATTGGCTGATGTCCAATCTCTCTCATCCAATTGGTTTGCTTTGGGAGGGGCGTGGCTTGTTTTTAAATGATACTCTAAACTGACTGGTAGCAACTTCTTGAAACACAACTTGCACTGAACCTTCACTTCCTCCAATTCTTGGTCCGATTTTTGACACGTCGATTTATGCGACAAATATCCCACCACAGATTTTTTGGATGCGCCACATTTCTCGCAATTTAAGGGTTTCTTGGATTTATAAAGCTGATTTAATATGCGCATCACCAAATCCTGGTCGTTTAGATCCTAAAAGATGCATGCATTGTTTCCCTTGGGACATTTTCAATTTTTATTGCACAAGAGAAGAGCTTGCCTTTGCATTTGATATGTTGGAACGTTGGTGAAAAGTTGGAATAAATCAAAGTTAGCAAAACGTCATGACAAATAATTCAGGAACTATGGAAGACTATCTCTAAGTCTCAATGGTAGTACTGACATATTACAGTCCAAAATATCTACTAAGGAATATTTGTGATTTATTGAACTAGATTATACAGTTTTGATCGACCATGGATCTGTATATCTTCCATAACTCTACTGTAGTGTCACAACACACTTTCATTTTTGATTTAATAGAAAAAAAACTTTCAAAGTGTAAAATCTATAGTCTGGAAAACATGAAATATTGGAAATAAGCAATTCCCGATTATTTGACAATGTTGAGTGGTTGACAATGTTGAGTCAACCACAGTTGTGGATAACTTTTTGAAATCCGAGTTGAATAGAATAAAATATCCATTTGGTATCAGGACATTAAGAGCAAAGTTCAATAGTCAAAACCTTCCAAGTAGAGATCAACTTACTTTTATGTGTTCTGATACAAATACCACATATTATATACGGGTCACAATTATATTTTTTGCTGCCTTTTAGAACTTAACTGTCTTCTTATAAAAATTTGGATTACAAACCTGAACACACAAAAATATTTTAATCCTAGTTTTAAAATACAGTTTTAAATATCAAAAAGTGAGTTTTTTTTTTAAGAATCTTTAAAAGGATATAAGCTAAAAAAACAAGAAAGTAAGACAACCAAATTCCTTACCAATGGAATATCTCCTACTCGCCAAGCTAAATTATTATGCAACTTATACTTATGATAAGGCCATTCTTGTTTCGTCAACACTTTCTTGCAAACAGCGCATGTTACTTTGCCCGTAGCGGTAACAGCTCCGGTGCAAAGCTCCAGATGATCATAAAACTTCTTCGCAAGGGTGCTTTTCTCTCCACACCTATGGCACTTTAGTTTATTTTGCTGCTTCAATAAATTTCTTAGAGTAGCCATAACAACTTTGAAGTTGTGAATATCTATGGGGGTTTCTCCGTTCCGCCAAGCCAAGTTGTGATGAATTTTTTGTTTGTGATATGACCATTCCGACCAGTCGATGGTTTGGTTACATACCATACAAATAACTGGACCACCTTCGGCAGGGGATTTTATATCACTAAAAGAACCAAGATTACTCTCAAATTGTAATGGGTATCCCTTTACCTATTATTTTCCCGGTCGTTTTCTTTTACTCCAAACGAATCATCACTGTTAAGAAATTAAAGTCAAACCCAATCAAAATGGATATTTATTTATTTTTTGCACTTTGGAACGGTCATATTGCACAGATGCCAGTGGTCCTTTAAATGAAGATAATTTGCTCTATATTAACCCAATATTAAAATGTAATCAAGATGTTGGGAATTTGGATTTGCAAAACTTTGAAAACATGTTTTCTGTTCACTTTTGGTGGCTCTCTACCCAAATTCTGGTTATGTTTGGAAATTTTTGTACTTATAATAACTGACTATTCATTAAAACTCGAAACATAGAATAATAAAAAAATTCCAATACAAAGCATCACGCGTCTTATTCATTGACAATTTAATTACAACTTTATTTTTAAAGGTCTTAAAAATTTCCAACGTTTAGAGGCTAACAAACGTATTGTGTATAATAGCTTTCGAGCCTACATAGCACAAAATCCATTATGTTGTGCGTTCCAAAGTGCAGAAATGACACGAACATCTCACCTGCATTCCTTAGAGGTACCCTGAGCTGCTTGAAACACCTGCTTTAACATTTTTGTAGTATTACCCGTAAAACTGTACCTAGATTTATTTTGATTTGTAATTTCTACATTGCCAGCGCCTTCGCCTGTATCCACAATGCTATTTATTTCCAAAGGATCGGATTCATCCATTTCACGGGAAACGTCACCTTTTGCGCATTTTGTCTTATGAGGTAGAATCATATGGATTTTTTTTCTTTTTTTTGTTGGCTGATCATCAATAGAAACGGAAGAATCGCTGTCCAGAACTGAATAATCCAATTCTCTACGTTTCCTACCTCTACTTGAGGTTGACATCACTGTTTCTTCCATTTCCAAGTCGGACTCAACAACTTCGTTTTTAATGAACCTACCTTTCCTCTCTGTCGGATCACATGTGCTTTCCGTAGAAGTTGATGATGATTCAATTTTTATTTCTAAAGGCGAATTTTTTCTCGGTCTACCTCTTTTCTTTTTAATAGTTATGTCGGGACTTTTAGTGACAGTAGTATTAACATCTAAAAATTTCTTCAATTTTGAAATCGTAGCAAAACCTACCACAATCAGTGGTTGTTTGTTAAGAACCGAAGATATAGAAACTTGCAAAGATGAGTGCATTTTTGGGAAAAACGTTTTCCTAATCAAGGGATTATTCGTTTTATTACAACGCCACGAATATTTTGGAAGAAACATATAGTTTTAAAAAAATACCAAAAAAACATCAGTTTTTATCTAATTTTTAAAGAGTCTAAAATCATTTTGTTTAATTTATATTTGAAATTAATACACTTTTTTTATCTTATAAATGTGGTCAGGGAAAAGGAATTGCGGTTGCATAATAGATTCAGTTTCTCATAATATATATATATATATATATATATATATATATATATATATATATATATATATATATATATATATATATTTTATATTCTGTGATCTACTTTCACATACTGGCATTCAAAAAAATTACTTAAAAAAAAGTTGATAATAAACATAGTGCACTTGCAAATATTTATTTTATCATTAATATTTAATGACTATTAGTTCAGTCTAGGTCAAAATATTTCCCACCAGCGTTTTTGTCTATCTGATAGAGTAAATAACAAACAGGAATATGTTCAGTGTTCAAAATTGATAATAATTCAGAAAAAAATCAAGTAAGCCCTAGATAATTTTGTTAGTATCGAAAAATAGACTCACCCTCCACATCAGTAGACAGATTGTAAAGCATGTCAAAATTTGGGATATATGACATCCAAACTTCAAATAAAATTTAAAATTTTACTTTCTACCTACCTGTTATTAATGAATCTCTGTCAATATTGTCGGCTTTAAGATCTAGAGTTTTTTTTCTGGGTCTCCCTCTTTTTCCTTTCTGACCAATGTCTATTTTGATTTTACTTCCATTTTCTGGCACATTTACGTCTTTTGGTATATCTTTACTATCACAATTAGAAGCAGGGTCTCCGCTAACACCTGCAGGCAAGTTACAATATGTCTCCTTACTGTCCACCTTCTTCGATATTTTGTTTTCCATTTTAACTGTTGGGAAAAAGCAAAAGAATTTTTGACACGAGTTTGAGCCTTTCCAATAAAAGGAAAACACACAACCAAGAAAATTAAACTATAGCATCTATGTGCACTAATTTCTACTTGGTATTACTGTTTCTAAACAGAATTTCAGAGCCTGTCTTAATGATTTTAAATGCGATGGCCTTCCATTGAGCCTGTCAGTGCAGTTGTGTAAATAGTGCGGGAAATAAAACTTCACCCTAGTGGAGTAGGAATAAAGAAATAATTTATTTTTTCTGCAACCATATAAAAAGGAATGATAAATATGTGTCTTGTAGAATTCCCTGTTCCATATTTTCACATTGTGTTATAGCGTGACAGAATTTAATTTAAGATTTGAGCAAGTGAAAAGTTGTATTATTGTGATAATAATTATAGTAAGCTTAATAGCAGCAGAGGAAGTATATCACATATATTATTGACAGCTTGCACTGAAGCAAGAATAAGTTTTTAGGAGAATATTGCCCTATCCTAACACAAATTAGATGCAAAAACAAAATCAACTTAACTTTGACAAATCTGAGGCAACTATGTACATAGCAAAGGACTTTGAGTTACCCATTAGGAATTAGGAAGGAAGCCACTTACTTTCCTTTGCAGCTTGATTCTGTAATATAACTAAACCAATGCGGCATAATTCTTCACATTTTTTATTTTATCGTCATATTTCTCCACAGATAAGTTCATAATTATATATCTAAAAAAAGAATCAGTACTCAAATTTGATCATCCAAACTACTTAACTCTCACCGGCCAATTCATGTGCAAAAACCAGGAATTTTATTTTAGCCCAGAAAAGCAAGTATCCAAAATTGTAGTCATAAGTAACTGCTTGTATCGTCTGCGAAACTGCTTCTTAATACATTAAAAAGTTATGATAATATACGAAATAACTAATAACTTTTAAACCTAGGGAGGTTATATTCATAGATAATAGAATTAGCATTTTCTCTTAACTAAATTAAGCAAAGTTTAACAAAACAAGAGCTTATAGCTTGAACTGCAAGTTTTAGTTAAACACTTTTTGGGACGAATTTTCGCCCATTTAAAAACTGACTCAATACAACCACGAAAAAACTAAATTTCAAAACTTTTTTCTATGGTTATAACCTCTTTTTATTTTGAGAGTATTCAGGAATTTACATTTTAATGGCAAATTCAACTAGGTCATCCGAATTGTCCGGAAATACCGAAGATGATGAGCTAACACTCCCACGAGCGAGCATAAATAAAATGATTAAAGAACTAGTTCCATCTGTTCGAATAGCTAATGAAGCTCGGGAATTGGTTTTAAATTGTTGCACAGAATTCATCCACCTTCTTAGTTCTGAGGCAAACGATATCTGCAACCAACTTCATAAAAAAACCATCAATGCCGAACATGTGTTAATGGGTAAGTGCTTTTTGAATCAATTGAATTTCATTGTTCAATAAGGACTAATTTTTTTAGCCCTTGATAAATTGGGATTTAGTGACTATCATGCCGAAGCAGAAGCTGTATTGAAAGATTGTAAAGCGGTAGCAGCGAAGCGACGTAGACAAAGTACACGATTAGAAAATTTAGGTATCCCTGAAGAAGAACTTCTGAGACAGCAGCAAGAATTGTTTGCAAAGGCCCGTCAAGAGCAAGCTTATGCAGATCAGCAACAGTGGGAACAGCTTCAAGCAGCTGCACAGCAAGCTCAATCTCTAGCTTTGACTTCCAATGATGACCAAGAGGATTACTCTTAACTTTATCACAAAATAATGACTAGCATAGGTATTTTAAAAATTTTGGACAATATTCTTGTTTGTGTAATAAGTGCATATTCCTTAAGAAGTAAATAAGACTCAGTTTATGTCACCGAAATATATTGAAATATCTAGAAAGTTTTTGAGATCTGTGATTTCCTTCAGACTTTTCCATGAATTCTTTTGGAGTCACAAGTCCCCAAAAATTAACAATTTTTTTGCCATATGCCGCATAATTATAAGAAATAAATAAAAGAATGAATCATGACAAAAACTTATCCTGGCGACCTTCAGCATTAAAGAAAAAAAGAATATTGGACCATAGAAAACTATGGAGTAAAAACCTATTACTCTGTGATGTTGATCACCTTAATTGACATTTATCCGTTCTGTGGTCCGAATAATTTTATGGCAGTTTGTGGCTTACTCTGATTATTTTTTTGAATAATGGAGGCCCTTATTCCCGTCATAAATAAGTTGCAAGATGTCTTTAATACAGTGGGATCTGATTCCATTCATTTGCCTCAAATCGTCGTTCTTGGATCACAGGTATGAGATGCTTAACTTTAGCTAAATGTTTACTAAATGACATAACCTATTCAATAGAGTTCCGGAAAAAGTTCAGTAATAGAAAGTTTGGTGGGCAAGTCGTTTTTGCCTCGCGGTACCGGTATTGTTACAAGGAGACCTTTAATTTTACAATTAGTATATTGTCCAAAAGAAGACAAAGAACATAGAAATGCCAAGGATGGTAGGTGTTGAACTGTTAATGAATTAACAAATCTAAATATCTTTCCAATTTTCAGGAACTATTGAATTGGAAGATTGGGGAGTATTCCTACATGCCAAAGACAAGATCTTTCGAGAATTTCAGGATATCAGGCAGGAGATTGAAGAAGAAACCAATCGTATTGCTGGAAGTAACAAAGGAATTTGTCCCGAACCTATCAATCTTAAAATTTACTCCACGAAAGTTGTAAATTTGACTTTAGTTGATTTGCCTGGAATAACAAAGGTGAGTTTTTATAATTTTTATTAAAAATGTCTTATGTTACCTCTGGCAGGTTCCAGTGGGTGACCAACCTGCCGACATTGAGCAGCAAATACGGGAACTAGTAACAAAATACATAGCAAACCCAAATTCAATAATATTAGCAGTTGTTACTGCAAACACTGATATGGCTACATCAGAGAGTTTGGCAATCGCCAAAGATGTAGATCCAGATGGACGGAGAACCTTAGCGGTTGTAACAAAGTTAGATTTAATGGATGCTGGTACTGATGCAATTGATATTCTTTGTGGCCGAGTAATACCTGTTAAGTTGGGTATTATAGGAGTTGTAAATAGATCTCAGCAGGATATTATTAACAATAAGAGTATAAAGGAGTCATTAAAAGATGAAGCAACATTTTTACAAACAAAATATCCTACCTTAGCTACAAGAAATGGCACACCCTACTTAGCAAAAACTTTAAATCGACTTCTCATGCATCACATTAGGGATTGCTTGCCTGATCTTAAGGTGGGTATTAATAAATTGTATAAAGGTATTAATTATATAAGATGATTAAATATAAATAAGCTTGTAAAATTACCAAAAAATATGAAGCATTTGAATGAAGGTTAATATTCTTTTATATCGTAGACCAGAGTAAATTTAATGATATCTCAATTCCAATCATTGCTCTATTCCTATGGGGAAGATATTTCTGATAAGAGCAAAACTCTTCTGCAAATAATAACCAAATTTGCCTCGGCATACTGTTCAACAATTGAGGGCACTGCTAGAAATATTGAAACTACTGAATTGTGTGGTGGTGCTAGAATATGTTATATATTTCATGAAACCTTTGGACGTACTTTGGATTCAATACATCCTCTTGCTGGATTAACAAAAATGGATATTTTAACAGCCATAAGGTAAGTTGGAACATTATTTTACAATTTTTTTCATTTCCTGTATTTGATCTTTGTTAAACATTCAACATTCTTTCTTTTTCGTACAGTTGCCAAGGTGCAAACCTTGCCAGTCGTCTCCTTACTGCCTTGCAGTGCAGTTGCAGCTTGAAACCTGCACGAGAAAAAATTTTTTGTAATTTCCTGGGTAGTCTTTCGAAATACTGTCAGTAATATTGATCAAGCATAGGATGATGTTAATTTGTTAATCATCTTGGTCCAGATGTTTTTTCTCATAAAATAGTAAATTTTCTGAAGTATCTTTACTTATGGAAAGTAGTAAGGTGCATGCTGGGCTTGCAACACATTACTATTAAAACTATTGTTAAATCTAAATTACCTTATGGTTGATATAAATAATTTTACGTAGTACTTCAGGTAATGTTTTATAGGAATGCCAATGGGCCACGCCCCGCACTCTTTGTGCCTGAGGTGTCTTTTGAACTACTAGTCAAGAGACAGATTAGGCGGTTAGAAGAGCCTTCTTTGAGATGTGTTGAACTAATCCATGAAGAAATGCAACGTATTATACAGGTAACTTAATCTTTAATTTTGCGTTGGTGTATTAGAAAATATTGCTAGGTCGCGACCAGTTTTGCACGAGCCCTTTGAATACCGTAGATTATATTCTCAATTTAAATTTTTTCTTAAGTCTAGTTATCAGTGACATTTGTGAACTCCCTATTATGTCGTGAGATTCACTAAATAAAAATAGAAGAGTATCCTTATGTTTCAAATTGAAACAAAGGAAAAACACTGGAATTTTTATTTTATTGAATGCACCTATCAAATTCTGCAATTTAACTAAACACTTGTTGTCATTTAACAACCATTTTCTCACACTTGTGTAATTTGTTATAGTCATTTACTTGTTATTTTCTGGGCAGCAATTTTTAGGACTTGACATCCTAATGGTATGTTATCCACCCGCCCGACGTAATGCACTTAAGCCTCGTTTTTGCACTTTTTAGCACTGCGGCAGCGAGGTTCAGCAGGAGATGCTCCGGTTTCCAAAGCTCTATGAAAGTATAGTTGACGTGGTCACGCACCTGTTGAGGAGAAGGCTGCCCACCACCAATAATATGGTGGAGAACCTCGTCGCCATAGAATTAGCTTACATCAACACCAAACACCCGGATTTTTATAAAGAAATCGCCATGGTTCCGTCGATGATCAAATCAGAGGGATCCAGACCTGGGAGACCCAAAAGTATGTATGGGAAAATGGCTGCCCTACACGCTCAGGAACCGCAGGAATTGGTAAGTTCATTTGAATGAATTTCTATACATAATGAATGAAAACCAACAAGCAAGTGCGCAGATCTTTCCTTAACGATTGTGGCGCTTATTCACTATTTTTTGAGGTCAGTTGACCATTACAGTATTTTGATGTTTAGTTAGGATTATGTGGTGCTTATGCAGAATGTTAGCTACAACTTTATTATTATTGTTATATTTTGTTTTCGTTTGGTTCTAGCTGTTATACCGCTGTCTTTCTCTCTACCTTTTTAATGATTGTAAAACTTAATTAAATTGGTTAAACCGTGAATAAATAAATAAATAAATAGTTACCCACCACAGGCTGCAACCTCTTACAATCGATAAATATTAAATAAAAATTCTATGGAATAAATAGCCACTTGCCTCAAAAGATTTTGAATATTCTTATAAGATTATAGTATTTATTTATCTCTTTTTTTCTATCTCTGTAGAGAGCTCAAAATATTAAGGCCTCGACCACAAATCAAGCAGATTTTTTCGATTATCTCTTTCATATCTTGCCCGTATCTACTTATTATGACTTCGTGAATGTCGTTGAGGTATTTACGATATTCAATTGTTTGGTTTTGATAATAAACAAATTCATCAATCGATAACAAAAATGAGCGTCACCAATTTTAGCATATTGTTATCTGTGGATATGCATTCGCGGGAGAATATTCAAGTGGTCAATGTCCAGGTTATAACATCACTTTATGGAATGTTGTGATTTACCTAATAAACTATTTTTCGAGGAAAGCGTCCCTAGTAAATGCCATAAAGCAGTTCAACATATTCGAAATATTGCTCAGTGAGTGCACATATCAAAAAATAGCTATTTAGAGAATAATTAATAATTAAAAGAGAATATTACAAATCAATATGTAATTATAAAGGGATATCACTACATTTTGTAATACGGAGGAGAATTGATTTGAGTTATCTGAATATTTCAGTTTTCATTTTCCTAAATCACGGATTTTTTGAGAAGTATTATTTTGTGGATGTGTCACTATTGCACTTAGTGAGCGATATGAGGTTCAATTAATATTTAATTAGGCATATATATATTTTTGGTACTTAGATACTTAAATATTATGTAAACTGCAGGATATGCTTTGACTGGTTATTTGAAATCATTTGGTATTGTGCTCATTTTTATAACGATTTGTTGCTTTATGCATTAACACGTCATTTTGGATAAGTTACTTGATAAAACAGTAACGATATATTTTAAAATGGCCCCCTTTTAGATAACAAACGGTCCCACATCCCGCGTGTCTTTCAAAACGGAAAGCAAAAGGAAAGAGGTATATTTATAACTTAAAACCCTTTTTTGTGCGTACATCATGGAGAATGCTTTTTTTCTTAAACAAGGCAACTTGAGTACTCCGTATAGGTAATCAATAAATTTTAGGCCAAATCGTCCAGTAATCCCCAACTAAATAACGACGATGCAACGTCTTGGGTCTCTAACCTCACTTCAGTTCAAAACGGAACCAAAGAAAACGATATCGATCGTCCGATACTCGACGCCAGAGGTGAAGCCGATCTCAGATCTGTTCTGAGTCCTGACAAGCCGGTTAATTTATTACCGCAGGTTCCTATAAATAGTAATAGTTTCCGGAAGTTATCTGAAAACGAGGAGCATGACTGTGAAATCATAGGTGTGTCGAGTGTATCCAAGCCCATGGTTGATTTAACAGTAGTTCAATGATTTCAGAACGTTTGATTAAATCGTACTTCTATATTGTTCGGAAATCAATCCAGGATACTGTTCCAAAGGCGATAATGCATTTTCTAGTCAATTTCGTTAAGGACAACTTGCAATCGGAATTGGTTACTCATTTATATAAATCAGATAACGCCGACCAGTTGTTGGATGAATCTGAGCATATTGCTCAGAGAAGAAAGGAGGCCGCGGACATGTTAAAGGTAATTTTTGCGAGTATCAATCAGGATTAAAATCTTATCGCTTTGAAATTAGCTTTCAACAGAAAAAATGTTTTTTAGGCGTTGCAGAGAGCGTCACATATTATAAGCGAAATCCGAGAGACTCATATGTGGTAATCAAGATTTGCAGTTGAAGTAGTAGGTGTCTTTTTTGGATTGGATGCGCCATCGTCAGACTAGTCAAAAGAATCCCGACCGTTTCACGAAATCGTATCACCTCTTTATATGTCACACTATATGTAATTTTTGACACTGTTATTGTTATAATAGACTTATTGTCCAATAGTTGGAAATTATAATATTTGAAATCCAAGCATATGTTTTTGTTCAAAAAAGATCTGAAAAATTAACAGTGGTGAGAAACAATTCAAGTAAAAAAAATCTCGTAACAAAACTTTTGTAATTCAATTTATTTTACTTCACAGCTTAAAACCCATAGCAGAGATATTTATTACCACTGACACATTGATGTACAAGATTTATGCTTGCTTTTAATGATTCTAGAAAAAGATGGATATGACGGTCTAGTACCTGTAGTGGTCCGGTTTGAAAGGCCCATCAACCGACACACCAATATATTTGGCCTGTTCAGGTGACAATTTAGTCAGTTTCACACCCAAATGGTCCAGATGCAATCTGGCCACTTCTTCGTCAAGCAACTTGCTCAAAGTGTGCACCCCAACGGCGTATTCGTTTGGCTTTGTCCACAACTCAATTTGCGCTAAAGCTTGGTTGGTAAACGAGTTTGACATCACGAAGGAAGAATGGCCAGTGGCGCATCCCAAATTTACTAAACGACCTTCTGCCAAGAGAATGATGTGATTGCCGTTTTGGAGTTCGTATCTGTCCACTTGTGGCTTAATGTTTACTTTGGATTTTGCGTTTTTTTCTAACCATTTCACGTCGACCTCGCAATCAAAATGTCCAATGTTGCATACGATACTATCATCTCTCATGTTGGCCAAATGCTCCCCTTTGATGATATCTATATTACCAGTAGTGGTGACGAATATTTGACCCCTTTTGCTTGCGTCTTCCATCGTTGTCACTTCATAACCTAAAGTAGTATTTTAATGTATATCACCAGTTAGGGAAAATGCTAAAATTGTAACTATTCACTCTATATTACAGAGCTTTCTTGATTTGAAAGGTTTAGGGACATTAAAAATTAAAAAAAATTATTTAAGTACAAATTACTGACTCATGTCTGTCCCCAAAAAATAGGATATTGTACAAATGAGTGGAAAACCTGAGTCAGTCTTCCTCTCTATGAAAACTAAAGTCTTGCCCAAAAATTTTTAACACAATTTTTTTGCACAAAATGGTTCGTTTGCATTTATTAATCAGCTATAAGAGGTAAAACATTTTTTCTTTTTCGTTTGGTTAGAAACAAATAACATTTCTGTGAAATGGGGAGCAACAGTACTGAAACCTACTACGGGTATAATAAGCCTTGCTTAATGGCAATACTGAATAGTAACTAAAACAGCACCCCTTATTCTCCACCTCTAAAAGGTAGAGATAAAATTAATTCTATGGCCTGTATGCTTATCAGAGTCAAGAAGTGCCACTGAACAGTGGAGAAGGTTTCCTTGTCTTTGTAATCACAAAAGATAATTTAATAGAGGCAGTATCAATTATCTTGAGAACATTAATAATTAATATCAATTCTTTGTTTGTTGTATCCTAGGCGCTTTTATATAAACTGACTTACCTTCCATAGCAGCTTGAAGGGCAATAATTGGATCAACTTCCGTGATAATGACTCTTCCACCCAAAGCCCTCAATGATTGAGCGCAACCTTTACCCACATCTCCGTAGCCAGCAACTACACATACTTTGCCGGCAAGCATGACATCCGTTGCCCTTTTTATGCCATCTATCAGAGATTCCCGGCAGCCATAAAGGTTGTCAAACTTACTCTGTCAATAAGGGTGTACAATAATACTAGGTTCCCATAAGAAATTGAATTAGAGAAAAAACAAGGTAGATTTAGACCTCCAAATTCAATTTCAAAGTATTGAAAATGAAGCAACTGGATAAGTACAAAATTTTACAGTTTTTCTGTAAAACAGGATATTTACCTTTGTTACAGAATCATTGACGTTAATGGCGGGCACTTTAAGCCTTTTTTCCCTAAGCATTTTATACAAGTTGTGCACACCTGTAGTAGTTTCTTCACTTAGGCCCTTAATATCTTTCAAATATTGTGGATACTTATCGTGAACTAAGTTAGTGAGATCACCACCATCATCCAAAATCATGTTCAAAGGTTTTCCATTTGGAAAAACTAAGGTTTGTTCAATGCACCATATGAATTCTTCATCTGTTTCTCCTTTCCAAGCATATATAGCAATCCCTCTCTTAGCTAAAGCGGCAGCTGCATGATCCTGGGTGCTGAATATGTTGGAACTTGCCCATTGGACCTGAACATGAGGGGAATATGACAAAACCCCGCATTTAGCATAAATGATTGCTGAAATTTTAACACTAACAAAGCAATACTTAAAGCATTTTTTCTACTTTGTAGATATGTTTTTGGTTCTACCTTCTATTGGAGAATTTTTAAACATGTTTTTGATTTCTTTTTGTATCATTACTAACACTGCCAAATATAAATAATAATAATATAATAAACCATTAAAGAAAAAAATGAATTATAAAAATAATTTCCATATGATCTAAATGGAGATAATAAATTATGATGAAACATTTGAGTTTGAAAGGAGGTTCTAAAATTTTACCATGAAACTATTTCTTTTTAAAAACGTCCAAGAGGTATAACTAAAGAGAAATAAATATACATAACAATAGAATTGTGTTAAGAGGTATTCCAAAAATAATTTTAAGTCTTTTGTTGTTCCCAAAGCTTTTAAAATAACAACATGTTGAAGGTTATCTGAAAACGATAATTGTTTCACAATTCAAAAACAATTATTGGATTTTTACGTAAAAAACAAAAAACCTTTTTAACAAAATATTCATATTGTTAACAACATAATTATAAGTTAAGAGGTTTTAAAATTGTCGCTAAAATAATGACGGACTTAAATCTTATACCATATTCTTAGACTTCAGATTTTGATTAAATTCAAGGTTTATTGGTATATTCATATTCTGATGATGAAATAAAAGCGCAAAAACTTAAAATTAAACATCAAACTATACCTCAGCTCCTAGTTCAATAAGAGTTTCAATTAAAACTGCAGCTTGAATAGTCATGTGGAGGCATCCCGCAATCCTGGCGCCTTTAAGGGGTTTGCTTTGAGCATATTTACGACGAAGGGCCATAAGACCAGGCATTTCGTTTTCGGATAACTCGATATCTTTGCGGCCCCATTCTGCCAATTTAAGATCGGCTAAAATAAACAATCGCTTCAGATTTGTAGAAATTTTGTATTAATCATTACTTACCAACTTTGAATGGAACTTTCGTCATGTTTCTAAATGAATTTGAGCTAACCAATATGAGATAACCAATCAACACACTACGACGGAAGCCACATGCGAAATGCCGATTACCACGAGAGGTATTTTTAAAATTTGAATATTAAGGTTAAACAGATCATGTATTGAATTCTAAGCTGACTCTACCGAAGTCGGTAATGGGCGAATGATCAAAGTAATTTAGCCCAACACACGTTAAGGAATGCTTAGGCACAAAATACAATTTAAAAATTGCTATTAGTATTATGTAAATATGTACCTGTTGTAGTTTTGCTCTCTAACGTAACGAATCTTTTAGATTTATTTAAAAAAAAATTGCCTATTGGCACTTTCTGGCATTTATTTGGGAGGCGAAACTTGCATTTGCAATTACTAGGCTTTCAATGAAGGAGTAAGTGTTCTGTCTATAGCCGGTTCTACAGTTGTTTCTTAAACATATTTTCCATTTAGATTTTTCCTATATGATATCTAGTCGCTCATAAAGTTATATTTACATTTTTTTCTACTCCCGTTTGTAAAATACCTAATTACGCACCCATCTAGCGTGCGGGACGCGTCGCTTTACCATGTCAGTTTCGTTTCCCACGAATCCGAGCCACTTCGTACATTTCCGGGATTTTACCGCACGGGTTTGGGAGCAATCGGACGTTTTCGGAGATATTTCCCACGCTTTAAATTTTGACGTTTGTAAATTCTGACAGTCATGTCAGTAAATGTATTCGCGTTTTGCGAAAATATACCCAAAAACTAACGGTCGTAGAAAAAGTATAGTATGCAACACGTTCGGTAAACTTTTTAATTCACTCGTTGCATAATATACTATAGATAATATGCTATAATATACTATTAAAGTCACCATTAAGAAAAAACATGGCGCAGGATCCGCCATTTCAAATCTGGTTTTCAACCGTATAGGTAGTAGAGATATAGGTTTTGCCTACTTTGATAATACAGGGACTTCTGAAGCAATTATGAAAACATTTTTGAAAAGGTTCATTGCTGCATTCAACAACCAACATGGCCGCTGACAGGTTATCAGTTCGACGGTCCCCGTATAGATGTGGTACTTTTTGGGCAGTGTTTTGTTGAAATATGCCGAGATCTTTTTAAATTTTTGCTATTGCTATTTCGAAAGAAATTCGCGCAAAGTGCAGGTTAGCGTGTAAACATTCCCATTCTTTTCGAATTGGATGAAAAGACATTTTTTTTATAGTGGATTTAGCATCTATATTTGTACTATACATGCCTCCTTGCCACTGCTAGCCTTGTTCTATCTCTGGTTTTAAAAATTATTTAGGTAAATTCAGTAAATGCAAATTGAACTCATAATACGCATCATGTATTTAAATCCCTTTTAATTGTCAGTATAACTTGTGGCCTGCCGGTGCTACCGTCTAGTCTAGATTGGGTTACATTTACCATAATTGCGTAAATGTAATTAGTTTGCAGATTTGCCATAAGATATAAATGTAAAAATGTGTCCCGGATTTCGATTTTACAATAAGTTTTATCCACTAAATGAACTAAATAGCGAACAAGGCGGATGCGCAAGGCCTTTAAAAAATAAATATGTACCTATTAACTAGCATTAACAGAGATCTGACAAATAACTTAAATAATAATAATGATGTCTATTAACAAACCAACCAGTTGGATTAATAATGAAAGTAAGCAACAAAAATGTATTAAATTAACAAAAAGAATTAAATTAGAAAAAAGAAATTGAAATAATTATTATTACTAGTAGTGCTTTCTTAGGGACAATTTGGAATTGTGCTTTCTGGAAATCTATATTTATAATTATATTGAGGGCACGCATTTCGGTTTAAAAGAAAACGAAAAATGTACATGGTGTGTATATAGTTAAAGGCAGACCACAATGGAAATAACGGCTTGTAGTCTTCTGGGTATACGGGGAAATTGTGTTCCATACTTCACTGTTTTTTTTTACTAGTACTATTTACTTTGTTGCCAACCACAAATTTTCAATTACGTTTAAGTCCGGTGACTGGGCTGGTGTCTTAATAACGTTTGGGCAGTTATAAAGCAACCAACTGCAGACCCGAAATGACGCGTGCTTTGGATCATTGTCACGATAGAACCGATAATTGTTACCCATATTTAATTTTTGGGCACTAGCAACCAGATGCTGTCTTAACATATCCAAATACACATATTGGTTCATATTTCCTTCAATGAAATGCATCTTACCTACTCCTGCAGATAACATACAGCCCCATAACATCACTCCACCTCCACCGTGCTTAGGTTTTCACTATACTGATATTTTTCCATCGGATCGAAATAAGTTTATTTTGGTCTCATCGGCAAATAGTACTGAATCTCAGAAGTTTAAATCTTTATCGATATGCTCTCTAGCGAATGCCAATCTCACGCGTCTATTTCTTCGGCTAAGGAAAGGCTTATTTCTGGCAGTTCGACCATGAAAATTATTTTTTCCCAGGATTCGTCGAATTTTTTCCTCTGCACACATCTTTAAAGCACTTTTTTTTTGATAATTCGATTTCTTTTTTACAATCCATCTTTACTCATGTTCATTGAAGATCTTATTTGGAGCTAACTTTGACTCATTCTCGACCCTATTTTCGTCTCGGTATCGCTCAATGATATGCAGAACGGTTGACGGACATTTATTTACCATTTGGGCTATGCCTCCTTGGCTGTATCCATTTCTGTGACGAGTAATAATTAAATTTATCTCAGAAATTGTAGTCTGACGACGCATTTTTTAAAAAATTCGTTATACTGAACGAAATCTTGTTTTAAAATGCTAAACTAAACAAAAAACAATTGCAGTAATAAATAAAAGCCACTCCGGCTTGGCAAATTTCAAACTGATAAGTTTTGACCCCGGTCATTATTTTTGCATCATTTAGGATGTCACGTTAATATTGCATTAAAATTTAATTAATTCTTTATTGTCAACTAGGTAAGGTATATTTAATACACAAAGTAATTCACACTTTTTAAAGAAGGCTCTTTACTAACTTAATTTCAATAAATCGTTTTTTGTTAAATAAATAAAGAGGCATTCAGACCAGTCAGTTTTTGTTATAGCAATTGCATCACCATTAACATAATTTTATTGTTTAATTTGCTTGCTATCCGATTTCTTTGCAATCAAATAAATTTTCATTTTCAATTTCATCAACATTTATATTTTTATATATATTAAACCAGGTATTAGTTGGGCTTTTGACTTCCTTTCATAGGGGTTGTACTTGACCGTCCCTGACATAGAGACAGCAACGTGATGTGGTGTCGGGTGTCAACCGAACGCAAAAATACCAAAGGTTTCTTCGACTTTTTAATCAGCCTATTCCTGGTAGACATGTGGTTAGTTTAGTTCTATCAATTTTGTCGAAACGATAAGTATGGAGTTGCCCGCGTGTTTGTATGTCAAATTCTTTGCCGAATTTTAAGTCACATGGGATTAGGTGATCGTGGGTCTAAAGGTAATTTTATAATTAACGATCTTGTTCAAAAATTCTCTTTAGAGTTTCTTTCCCTCAGGCACAATCCAATAGCCAGCAATAATCGAGCAAAAAAAAATCCTTGTAGATTTACTTTTAAATTTAAAAATTAAATAAATAGCATCTCCACGGCACAATCAAATTTTTAGTTAAACTATTTAGATATTTAAATTTTTATTTTGTTTATATTTGGTTTCGATTCGACTGGGCCATCAAATCAGTTCAAATTTCTAAATGAGAAATGAGAAAGATTTATCATACAACATTGTTTACATTGCTGCTTTGCGTTCTCGGTATCATTGTATTTTTAACTCGATCGAACTTCTTGTAAAATTCAAATAACATTCCTGTACATAATTCAAAAATCTTTGCCAACGCTAGTGCCCTATTTAGGTTTTGAAGAGACAATTTTTTCCATTGCAATATTGACCCATGTTCGGATGATGATTATTATTTTGAAACATTAATCGGAAAGTTCCGTTAACAGATATTGTGTTATATGTTGCATAAAGCCCTCGATAAATCCGCAAGAATACAAAGAAGAATGTGAAGCCACAAAATTTTCAAAACTATTCAAAAGTTGACGAATCTTTGGTGCACTGCTTTTAATAGCTTTTAGTAGCGGCGTATAGTTTTAGTAAAGCTTTTCAATTATATTTAATTGCGGTTTAGGATTTTTGGGTCCATATTTTTCGATGTTCTGTTAAGACTTATAGGGGATATCTTTATATATTTATACTTAAAAGATGAATTACATAGAAGACTAAGAGACTTGTCCTCCATTATTGAAACGGTTTTGTTATGGTTCGCGTAAAAAGAAATTTCAGGGGGCAACTGGCAACAGCTTCAGACAGCAAATTTAGACCGGCATCATATTTGTATTCCGTTTAGCTATATATCCATCGCCTCTTCCTCTAAATTTTAATTTACGTAGTATAAAATATACTAATTACTGAAAGTACTTTAAAATTTTAAATACAACCAACGAAATGAAGGAATAAGATAAAGATTAAGTCAAATATGAATCAAAACTCCAAGAATTCATATTTGCGCCTAATAAACTGTCAAAAAGTTTGCCCTCAGTAGTATATATTTGATCAGTTAAACTGACTTGGACATTTTGCATTATACTAAGTACAATCCCTACCTCTCGATTTTCTTCTTGAGATATTTTCTCACTACACGACTGTCATTCCGATTATCCTGAACTCTGTAGTTATTTCTAAACATATTTAATACGATTGGTTGTTAAGGAGAAATGGCTTTATTCAGGTTGATATTTTTTAATCATTTGAAGCAAGTCGATGCAACACGTGTGATAAGTCACTCGCCACAAAACAAAGTTGTTGCATAGTATATTATTAAAAAAATTGACGTAAATTTATATATTTTTAATTCAACTTATATTAAGCGGTAAGTCGTTGTCATAAAATGTCATAGCCGCCTTATGTGTAACAATTTTAACTTAAGTAAACTATATTAAACTTCGCAGGCATTGACCAGTCAATGTGCAAACTCGAATGCACTAAATTAGATTTATCTCTTTGTCTACACCTACATTTGCTTCGTTTACATTAGGTTAGCGCCAAACAGATCCCTAT